TTACTTTTATATATATCTGTGTATTATATTTATTTACGTAATTTTTTATAATAATTATATTCATATATATCATTTTTATAATAACTATTTTAGGTGTCTGGTATTATGAGTGGTTAGTTTTTAATGAAATAATGTAACAAATATAAAAACATGTAAGGCAACTTCTAACATTCTATTAGGAATTCTAAAGCTATGCTGTTTCTAAATATTTTCTTATTTTGCTGCTGAATTGAATTTTATGTGGCATAAGTGCGAAGAACATATTTAATAAACACATAAAAAGTTAATGATAAAAAAATTAAATAAATTTTTTTTTGGGGGGGGTAGCCATCTTGCTAAGAAAACTGAATGTTGATGCAATAAACTGAGAAAAGATTGAAAATATATATATATATATATGCCAACACTTAATACTGCATTAAGAATTCTAAACATATGCTGCTATTAAGCTATTAAAAATTTTGTTATTGAGTTGTATGTGGCAAAAGTGGGAAGAAAATTATGATAATAATTAATAATAAGAAGCTAAGAAGACAAATAAATAAAATAAAATAAAAAAGGAGCTTAGCAGAATTAGGTGCAGGAGCAGACTGGTAGACTGCAAGCTCGGCTAAAGCATAAAAAACCTTAACAAATCCTTTTGGGCAACCTTTAAAATCTGAAACCTTTCAGAATTTGTTTGTTTTGGTTTCACAATTTTTCTTCTCTGTTATTCTGCTCAATGTTGACACTAGATTTCTATTATTCAAAACGACTGAATGGGCAAGATAACATGCAAATGAAGAAAACAGTCTGCATTAGTTTACCTCTCTAAATGCACTGAACTTCTTTTGTAAGAAACTTCATGCCAAGCTTGAGCTGAATTTTGCCAGTTTTTCAAGTTAAATGCAACACTGATTTCTTGCATATATTAAAATTCAGACCAAATATTAAAATACAGACTACTCAGAATGTACAACAAGCATATGAACAATAGTTTTTAGGATTACAAAAGATCAGATCAGAAAAATAAGCAACTACCTATATTTAACGAGTATAATACACTGCACAAAATCACGGTTAATTTGTTCTGCAATTTAAACACAAACAAAGAAATAAGCATATATTAAAAGTCATAACAAATAACTCAGTTTGAAGAGCACAGAAAAATATTTAAATAATATGCTATGCAAACTAATACTAAGCTATTAATATCCCAAATAATACTTTTTAATAACTAAAAAAAAAAAAAAAAAAAGGATATTTCTTTTGAATGATCACATTACTGAGATAAAAATAATTAAAAGAAAATACTTTTGTTCCAGTCCATTCTAATATTTCATTCCTCCAGTCCCTCTAAAAAACTCCTATGTTGAATAAGTTCATAGAAAATGCTTGCAGTGCCACTCAGTTTGAAAACATAAAAATGTATTACCTAATCACCTTAAATGTAACACCGAGTGGAAGATGTACAGTTTCACAAATGTGCCTGCAATTCTAGAAGCATTAAAAAGGCCCTTCTTTTAATATCTTTTGTAGACTGGCCATGCTTGAAAGATATGAAAATGCTAATGTTGCAAAACCATTTAGATAAGACAGAACAGCGATACAGAAGATGAAAATTTAACAAATAAAATGACTGTGGTATGACAGGGATCTGTTTCTTTCAAAAAATAAAATAAAATAAAAAATCTTTCCTTAAAATAAAACAAAGCATTGAATGGTTCAAAGATGCTTTAATTCTGTTTGTACTACAATACAAATTACCACTGATGTGACTTCATACATGTCTTCTATAGAAATTATGCTACACCCATAACTAAATTCAAGTCATGCGATGTGACTTTTATGAAAGTTTTTTTAACATATGAGTATAACTGAGAATTTTGTTAAAGTAAGGAAAGTAAATAAAACTTTTGAAGAGAAATTACATTAATTTTTAACATATTAAACTTCAGGTAAACTGTGTTCATTATTTTCATCATGCTATACATTACTGTCTACACCAAGCAACAATGAAGCTAAAACTATATGTCTATTGCAATATTTTGAAAGACATCAATAAATAAACATGATATCATCATTAACACCCCCTTTTTTTACGTAGAAAGTAATCTGAAGTTAGTAAATTTTGAATAAAATGTTAAAAAAGCAACATAAGAGGAATTTAAAAGGGATAATGTGAGAAATTGCTGTACAAAACAACATTTTTATCATTGCAATAATTGTAATAGGAAGCTCACCTCTATTTGACATGTTTTAGCAAACTCCAAAAATGGTTCTTGATACAAAATGTAATGTAAAAGCAATAATGCTTTGTATTACATTCATTAATGTAACAAAAAGAAGATTCAGTCATAAATTTTTACTAAAATTCTTACTTTCATTTTTAAATACACAGATAGTTAAATGTGCTAATAATATGATAATTAACTTCTTGTATTGCTTCAAGTTAGTGATGAAGAATTTAGCTTGAATAAAAAGTCTACCATGGGTTATTGCTGAATGACATGTTGCTAATGGGTTAACAAATACAAACATAATGATTTAGTTTTGCCACTCAACATCTGTTCAACAGCAGGTCAGAGTAAAATTTGCTTTAGAAATGAATATTCAAACATTTGAGTGCCTTTATGTGCATACAACGCTAGGCATTCTTACAAATACCAAGAAATAACACCACTAAGGCACCAGACATTGATAAGCTAGGATGTATGGAACCTCATATAGGGAATCAAAGTAAACAGTGGACAAAGATTTTAAACCTTAACACCTTTTACTCATAACATTAGGAAAGTAATGAACCAGAATTTCAACACAAAACTACATAATAAATATAAAAAATTTATTAATAACCATTTCTTTTACAAATAATGAAATTTGCAAAATGTAGCATATTCATCAGGTCTTTTATTGTGTGTTGTATTTTCATGCATATTTTTCATGCCCTTATTTCTGCAATATATTTTTGAGAAAAATAAGATTTAAGTAATTTTTCCATGAAAAGTACAACAGAAGGTACATTAAACAATTATCATATTAAAAAAAGAACTGCAGAAGCTATGGTTGCAATTCTTAGAACCTTGAGTTCAATTTGACAACTCGGTTAATGACCTTTCATACATACAATTCAAATATTTCATTCAAAGTGCGCATGGATGGTGATAACCACAATTGGGTTTTAAATTGAGATCTAACTAGATTATGGAGGCATGGAATTTCATTGGTAGGGGACAGTTTTTATAACCTAATCTCACAAAATGCAGAAAATGATATTTAAGAATTTGTGGCATTGAAGAGGAAAAGCATCCAGTCAGATGAAGAAAATAAGGAATTCATTAATATTTTGATTAATATTGCTAGAGGCAGACTTCAGAATCTTGTCTTTTATTAGTTCTCTTCCTATCCAGTGTCTTTTATTAGTTCTCTTCCTATCCTTTTATTAGTCCATTTCCTATCCAGTGCCACACAAATATGAAGTTAATAACTGAATCAATTTTCTTTCGGTTCTTAGAGTGCTCAAGGCCTTTCAAAACTTTCTATAGAATTAAGTAAAATGTTTTTTGAATTCTAGATTTTACAATTAGAAGTGCAAATAAAATGTTATATTTTATATGCTTATAGAATAAACTGCAGTTAGAAGCAGGAATAAAATATTACATTTAGTTTATTATGCCTTTCCTTAAATATCAGACTGAATTTCTTGATGAATTTCATTCATTTCTTTGCCAATTTAATTGCATTAATTATGTCATATCTTCATAATTTAACAATGGTTTGTGATAAAACAAGAGAGAATTCTTTAGCTCCTTTTCTTTCTTTCTCTTTTTTTGGGGGGTGGTGGTGGTTTGTTTTACGGGGAGAAGTAGTTTAAAATATGTAATTCTGCAACTTGCACTAAATACCTTAAACGGAATCTGCAGAAATAAAATGTACAAGAAAAGTAAAATATTAATTTTTATTTAAATAATTCTGAATAAAAAACATCCAGTTATAAGATTACTGCAGGAATACTTCACATGAAATATTATTTATATTAGAAACATCTACTTTATTGAGAAACCTACCGAATGAGGCTTCCAAAACAGGTTTTGTTTCAGGCTTCTAAGTTTGTAAATCAAGCTCTTTGTTAATCAAACAAGCAGCAAGAATTCTTTTATTAATTAAATAACCAGAGAGAACTGATATAAGCTTAAACCCTACTTTAAAAAATATTTACATATTTTTCAATTATTTTACCTTCATTTTATATTAGTAAAAAAAATGGCAAAAAATATGCATAGAAATATGGTACTGTGAATATATGCAGAAATGATCAGAAATTAAAAAATATATAAAATAATATTTAATACATAACGGCTTCTAAAGGGGGAAAATGACTAACAGTTACAATACATGAAAAGTTTTAAATCTTAAAATTGTTTTCCTTGTAGAACATTAAGAATCATTAATGCATAACTAAATCGTGATGGAAATACAGTAGATGAGTCAATGAGTCAGACTCTAAAAATATTCAGTTTTTAAATCGCTAACCTTCTTTCTAGACCAAGTAAAATTAAGCTCAGTGCAAATTTATTTACAAGTCTTTTCACTTACATCATAAGAACTCTAAATGAGAATTTTTTAAAAACAATATTTTAACTATGAATGCTTTTCTTGAATAAAAAAATTTTTAATTTTGGATGACTAGAACTCAGCTATGCATTTAGTATAATAAAATTAAAAGCAGGATTATGTGCTTAGTTTTAAGGCTTGTGAAGAATAAAATAAAAATAAATCTCACTACTTTACACTGAAATAAAAATCAGTTGTGTGCTAAATTAAATGAAAAATAATATAATTGGTTATTTTGTTAAAAATAAAACTATGTTTTGAGTTTTATTTCATGCAAATAAAAATATTTTATCCCCTTTTCTCCAATTTAATAGAAATAAAATATGATATGATAAACAAAAATAAAATAAAATCCCTTTAAAGTGTATTAGTGTAAATATATAAGAAAAAGACAAGACAATTACATGGGTATTTTGAACATCATATGAACTATAGTCCTAGTTGGTCTGTACATTTGGAGCTCTACTACATTGTTAAAGAATGTATGTGGTTAAGCCATAAAACAGAGGTTTTACTAAATGATAACATAATATAATTGGTTATTTTCTTATAAGATTCTATTATAAAGTTTAAACTTCATATGAAATCTATATTCGAATTTGGAAATTAATGTGCAAGCAAGATTGCACAATACTTGCTTGAATTATCTACAAGACATCGGATATTTAAAACAGTTTAAAGTATGTATAATCAAAATGAATGCACTACTAATTTTAAATTTCCTTGTTCTTAAATTAAGGATTTTCATTAAAAGACAAACATGTCTAATGTACAAGTCCAAGGTGTTGCATGAATCCAAGATGGAATCCGAGCTAAGAAAGACGGAAAATCTCCAGTGATATAATCATGGCCATGAAGGTAATGAGTTATGAAACTGATATCAACAAGAGGAGAATTCTTGTTATAACTGCTAGGAACCTATAAATTATAAAGATAATATACAAAATTACTTACAAAACAACTTAAGAATGAATTATTATTATATGTTTTAAATTATGTGCTAATATAATAAAAACGAAGCTTTGAAATAATAAATAGTGTGGTTTAAGGAACAATCAAAGTCCTTGTTAAAACACTCACATATTCTGTTTAGTATGGTTGCTGATCATATAACTACTAGATTGAGGAAAGAGGATGTCTGTAATATTATTCTCATCATTCATTCACATAGCAGTCTCTAACTGGTTCACGAACCTTGTTATTGGTCCACTTAGAAGTCTACGATCGGTTCTTATCAATAACTTGTGGCAAACGTTTTATTCAGGGTTTTGGCTGATTCATAGCATTCTGGTGGGAAATGAGGAATCTTAGTTCTATGCTTTTCAATGAAATCTTATCTAAGTTTTTGGAATAGCTATTGAAAAGAATGTATTGCGTGATTTTCTTTAATGGCTTTTGACTTCAATAGACTTCGTAATCCATGATCCAAGGGAATCATTTTTATAATTTTCACTTCCTCAAACTTGATTTTAACATATTTTTTTTATTGTAATAATAAAAGTGCCCTCTTACTCCTTCTGAGCTTCATGCTACATATATGTTCTTCCTGTAAATCAGTTATAGATTACCATGTGGATCAATCACTGATACAATGGATATCAAAAACAAGGCCAAGATTACAGATACCTTCTTTCTTCAGTCTAGTCAGATAATAATTGCAGGATAGCTGAAAAATCAAACCAATTAATAAAATGTCTGAATATTTTAATGAGACTGACTGTTTAATGAAACTTTCTTTCGTAAAGCAGGTAAAAATGTGAATGCATATATCAGAAAGAATGCTAGAAAATGAAATGAAACAAAAATATTTCTTCAGTGACAGATGGAAAAAAAAAAAAAAAAAAAAAATTCATGCTGATGTCTCACACATCTCAAACTCATAAACGCCATGTTATTATGTCTGATATGACCTATCACATTAATTGCTTCAAAAGTTTAGGCAAATGCTTTCTTATAAAATACTAAATTCATTGACCTGATACTAAATATAAGAAATATTGTTAATAATATTACTAAATGAGACTGTATTTCACAAAGCTTAGCCAAAGAATACATTTTATTGAGTACTAGACTTTCAGAAGAGATTTTTCATCCCAACAAATGAATCCTGGTTTGAATATTACCAAATAGTATCTTACAATTACAGACTTAATTACGAGACCATACAAAACCTATAATCGATATGGTGCTAAATGATCATAAGTTGAATGGGATACATAATGACTATGATACTAAAATACTCAAGTCTACATACAAGAACAATGAAATAAGCCAAATAAAGCTTAAATGAAATGCAATACAACAGTGGAAAGATTGTTTAGTTTCCACATGTAATTCAATTAAACAGTAAGTAGTATACATTCCTATTGTTTCAAAACTCCAGTTTTTGAATTCTAATTATCAAGAACAATAAGGCAATAAAAGAATTTAATGAAATATAATTTTTATGAAGTAGGGTCAAAAAGATTTCAGAAACCCTGGTTAGCACTTTATTCAAGATATCTAGAATTTAAAAAAAAAAATAAGTTATAACTATCATTATTACCATAAACAATTATGCAACAAGTATGGCACCTGTAAAAAATAAAGCTCTTGTCTAATACCTCTTACAAAAACAATTTATGAAAACAGTGTTATGAAGTACTTCACAACACAAGAGCAAAATGAAGGCATTAATTGCAAATTTTCTCTTAAGCTAAAGTAGTGCAAGGATACATACGATTTTTATGTATGAAATATCTTTAAATGCACTAGCATTCATTAAGGAATTACAGAAGTTTACGAGGCAAAAGCAATACCACATGCAGACAAACTTTTCAGTAGTTTCAGCATGGCAGCACAGACTTGACTGATGCTGGTTAACAAGGAAAGCCAATAGCATTGATCACAGAATTCTATAGATTGACAAAATAATTCATAAGAGTTATAGAATAAAAGTCTAAAAAATTACGCAGAAGTTGGTATCTAGGATTGGTATCTATGTTTAAAGCGATAAACAACAATTTGCCAATGACAAAGAGGTGCAAACAGCGATTCTATAATAGCTCCATGATCAAGGATCAGATTTCTATCATTAGAGAATAAAACATGTAGTTAAACAATTAGATAAAGTATTTTCAGAGACTAGATGATTATGTTGAACAACAGAATGATTTATCAGAGTCAAACACCAATACATTAGCCAGAAAATGAAATTTCCTTGGCCAACTATAATCAAACAAAATTTGATTTTTTAATTCTGCACACATTATCATCTCAGTAAATAATTCAGGAAATAAAAGTAATCAATTATCTTAGTTGAAAAACCAAATCTACAAAAATTCATTATACATTCATCATGAAACAGAACACTAGCTAATGTAACAGTCAGTTAATTAACTCCTTAATTACCAGAAACAAAGAGATATTTCTCTTCCGAATTAAAATCTGCATTAGTGAACTAAGACTAATTTAATAGTCATTTCATAATGTATGAGTTTATAAATCACGTATGTTAGCAAAGCACCACAAATTGTAAGCTTCTCCAAGACATAAAGTTTCATTGTTACTTAATGGTTTTGCCCAGAACACTAGAACATGCATATGTAAGTTGAGGATCTCATTGATATCAACTAAAGTCCATTAACATAATTAAAGACTTAAAAGTATGTTAAAAGTTTTTTAATGGTTATATTAAAGTTAATCCTATGTGCTTCTTCAGAGATTCCATATTTTTCATTATTAAAAGAACAGGCAGAACAAATACAAAAAATAAAATATTTTCTTCTGAAAGAAAGCTTGAGGAAATTTCTCAACCTCCCATAACTTACACATCACTTTACTCGATACAGAGGCTGTTCGCACACTTTTTACACGATTTCATTGTAATTACAGAAATATTTTACCAAAAATTTTAAGGTTTTTGAATGTTCTATTTGACAACCCTTATTCTTCACTATCTTTATGCACCACAATTTTCAAGATAAGCCTTTTCTAGTATCAGAACAGGTACTTTACCCCATTGCTCTTGAACAGCTTTCCAAAGTCTAAGGAGTAGGTCGAAGTTTGAATAACCGCTTTTTAAAAGCCCAGAAGAACAAAAACACATTAGTGATAGATCAGGAGATTTAATAGGGATAACGTGAACCTTGAAACCTGTTTTTTTTTTCCCCCCATTTTTTCCAGGAAATTAACAGCAGATTTTGATGTGCCACTGTCTTGATGCAGCTCTACTGATTGATCATACTGTGTGTAAACAGAAGGTATTTCATATTTGAAAATTGAGTACAAAATATGTTTTTGTTTATATATGGAATTGAGTTTAACATTTTCCTCCACTCTCTCTATTTTTAATTTGCTGCTATATGAAACACGAGCAATAATTATAAATCCCTTAAAAAAGCTTTCTTTAGATTCTTTGAACCATGTTTTAAGATATTTTTCTCCTCTTTAATGATAATAAATGGATCTCTTTTTATTGCAGTCATTTAAGTTCAACCAAGATTCATCTATTATGAGAACATTTTCCCATTTTTGTATGGATAAATGTTTCTCATAAAGAATTCTGCAGCGCGTTCTGTCTTCAGCAATATGTCATGGAGAAAGACGATGACATCATGTTTTTTTGCCTTTTTAAGATTCAAATCAACATTGATCACTTTGCCGCCCAGGCGGTATAGTGGTTAGGGAAGCCTGACTGCGATACCAAAGGGCCCGTGTTCGAATTCCGGAGAAGACATGAATATAAAACTGTCTGTCCCTTCATAGGAGGTAACATGGTCACCTATTAGGTGCTTCCATAATAAAATGGTCACCATTTCTGGCCTTAGGAGTGGCCAATGCCATTATAGACAAGTGACTGGCATTTGGAGGGGGGGGGAAACACTTTGCTTACAGTTGACACTGACCATTTTAGCGATTTTGCATCTATCCTTTGACTTGGGCAATTTTCTTTTAACATTAAAGATCTTAATTAAGATACAATAACACACCGAATAAGTATTAATTAACACGTTGAGTGCAGCGCTGGTTCCTGGGGACTGGCAGTGAACTTTCCATGTGGCCAGCGTCGGTCCCTGGAATTTTCATTTGGCTGGCGTCGGTCCTTACGACCGACAGTATTAAAAGTTAAAAAATAAATATAGTCTCAATGAAATGTGATCAGATTTAGTTTTAATGAAATGTATTGAAAATAAATATAGTCTCAATGAAATGTGATCAAATTTAGTTTTAATGAAATGTATTTGAAACATTCTAAACAAAAATACGGCTTAGCTCGCTGCCAGCTGAACGGAAAGGACAGCAAATACGGCGCCGAACTCAACATGTTAAGAAGTCAAACAACAAATATCAGTGTTATATTTTCAAATTTTCACAGAAGTGTGATTTCTGTGAAAATCTGAAAATATAATGCTGATTTTTGTTGTTTGACTTCTTAATTAATTAAAGATCTTACTTTTGCAACATTCAAAACATTCCCGTGTTTTCCTTGGATAAGTATTTAGAACAATTTTTCCAATTGAAGCTAAATTTTGAAGCTTTTTCCATTTGTTGTTAACTACATTACCCATTGTAGCTTTAAGTATAAAAAAAACCATGGCTTTCACAATACTTTTTAATAACTAGATTCGAATCATTTTCTTCGAAAAGAACACAAACATACCCTTTCATCCATTGCTTCTTTAAAAGACATTTGTATGACAGATGTTTGTATTTAAAGACATTTTGTATGAAAATAAAATTGTAGAATAGCAGACAATAATTTATACTTTCAAAAATATAGCTGCAGTTAAAAAAAAATTCCAAGCAGTTTTTTAAAGAAAAGCAAGGTCATATAAAAATGTGCGAACAGCCTCTGTATAATTACCTCTAATGCATAAGCATTATGATTATTGTCTTGGAATTACCCTCTCTCTAAAACTGAAGAAAAATAGACCAGTGTTTTTAGTGATGTTACACATTGAAGAAAAATACTCTCTCATTTTTTTTTAAAGAAAATAACTTCAATTCATTTCTTTTCTTAATAGCTTTCTCAAAAAGCAAAAATAATTTTAAAAACAATGATAAACTGAAAAATGAATTTAAATAACTTGATAATTTTTTACATTGATTACATTGCCGATAAGCCATACTTATACTTCAGAATATTATTTTAACATTAAAGTCCATAACTTTGGATGTCAAAACAAAAATCCACTGCAATTGGTAATTCAAAAATTGCAAATGTCTCTGCAATAAAAAAACTACTACCTTTCATTCACCTAAAGATAAAGTAATTACATATGTCACATCAACCTTTATTCATTAATACAAAATTTCATGACTGCTATCATAAAATAATGATGACAAAATAGTTTAACCTTATAAACTATTATTTCCATCATTATTTAAGAAAAGAAAAACTGAAAAAGAGCATGCTTTTGAAATTATTACAAAAATTATGATGCATATTAAAAAAAATAGATTTAAAATTTAATTTAAAAATGATAGTTTCAGTCAAACTTAAAAAAATAAAAAAAAAAAAAAAAACTTTACTTTTAAATCAATCGAAAATTTCCATGTTTCTTTGTACTCTCCATAGGAATAATAAATAAAATATGTAGGTCTATCTCTCCAGTCTAAGCTTCGCAAAGGAGTATCACTAGTTAATGACCATTTGGAAAGAGTAATACCAGAACGAGGGGAAATAACAACTGTCATATGATCAGGACCTTAAATAAAGAATTTTCCATTAGAGAACATTCTAATCATGAATTTTTAATCATGAAAGGTCAACATTATATCAAACAGATATAAATTAAATCAATTATTATATATGTAATGCTTAGTTAAATTCAGTTAAAAAATTTCCTTCTAAGTCAACTTATGTCTGTACCACTTTGTATATAATAGCTTATAATCTAAAATATGTTGTTTTCTTACTTTCTTTAATGATTAAATATCATCTTAATAAACAGATCTGTATAAAAAGAGAGATTACAATAAGAAATTATTCAAATTTGGGGGAAGTGCAGTTTAAATACATGTCTTCCTGAACAGATTCAAAAAGTCGAACCACTCAGAGGGTTAAGAAAATGTTTGAAAATAATATACTAATAACATTAAATTGATTACTATCTTAGCATTTTAATGTTACATGTATTGTAAGTGGCAGTACAATATAAATGAGTATATTCTCATTCCTGTCGAATAAAACATTGGATGCTGACAGTCTTGAAACACCAACTCTGTTGCTATTGCTTTAGAATAAAATTAAACAGGAAATAATTGATATTCTGATTTCAAGATCAATGCACACAGCTTTGTATTTTGTATAATAAGAAATGCTGGTAGACATATATGCGGATTTTGTCCATCATAATTTGAAGTACCAGAATGAGGGATAGGTTGATAAATAGTGATCCAGAAATAGGCAATCCAGAAAAGTTGTTAATAATAAGTTGTTAAATAGGCAATCCAGAAATAGGCTAACATATATCCAATAAAAGTGTAATAATTGGTTAAAAGAAGATGTCTGTTACAAATAAGGCTTCAAGAGCCACTGTCAAATAAAAAGGATGTAATCTGTTCAACATAAAAATTTTCTGATGAAATTGATGAAACTGTTTGGCAACACTTGAGACATTTAGCTGTATTGTGTGAAGTAGCAGCTTTCACGAGGCAATTTTAGTTTTATAATCAGTCGTAAACATGTCTCCACAGCTGTAAGTGGCATCCAAATTGGAAATGATGGCAGTGATTCCTTTTTTGTGGGCAAAAAGGTGTAATGGCTGTGAAATTTATTGGCAGTTGCATGATGTTTATGGTGAAAATGCAGTCATGTCGAGCTATTGCAAAGTGGTGAGACATGTTTGAGAATAGATGTGCAGATATTGACAATGCTGAGCTTGAGGGAAAACCATCAACTGCTACAAATTCTGAAATTGCTGCTCTTGTGAATGAATGCATTCTTGCAAACAGACACAATAACTGAAATCTCTAATGGACTGATTATTTCTCAAGGAAGTGTGCATAAAATTACTGCCAATCAGCTGCAGTTTCACAAAGTTTGTGCTCGCTGGGTGCCTCGTCTACTGACAGAGGAACATAAAGGGAAGCGTTTTGAAAGTGCATTGAAATTTTGGCAATGTTACCAAATGGAAGGAAACGAATTTTTGGACAAAATTGTGACCGGAAATGAGTCTTGGATTCACCACTTCTCACCTGAAATGAAACGCAGCTCCCTCAAGTGGAAACATTCCACTTCCCCGACTTGAATAAGTTTCGAACTGTTCCATCTATGGGGAAGGAGGTGTGGTGCATACAGAGTTCATGCCGATGTGTGTCACAATTAATGTATTTTCTTATAGTGAAACACTAAAATGATTGTGACAATCACTTAAAAATTGATGGCCAAGTAAATTGTTAAAAGGCATTGTGCTCCTGCATGACACCAAAAGATCTAATGCAGCAAAACAAATGTGTAACCTTCTGAAAAATTTTAGGTGGAAAGTGTGAGATCACCCTCCTTACACCATGTGACTTCCATTTTTTTGGTCCCCATGAAGGCTAAACTTTCAAAGCGACAATACCACTTGGATGATGAGGTGAAAGCTGCAATCCAAGAATGGTTATTGGCATTGGATGAGATTTCTTTGCAGAAGGCATTAAAAACTTATACCACGCCTCGACAAATGCTTAAATAATGTAGGTAATTATGCTGAAGAGTAGATTTTGAATGGAATTTTAAGATATAAATAAAGTTATTATAAAATTTCTATATTGTTTTGTTAAGCAGTGCAACCAACTTTTTGACTGACCCTTGCACATGTTTAAGAATGAAAATGGGCAGTGCAGGTGAACCACTCACCTAATTTGGCATCAAAATAACAGAAAAATCTTGCTTAAATAAGATAACTTGATAAACTAATTTGCATAGATTGAATACAATAAATAATATGAATAACAATAATTCACTCATTAGGGCTCTCTCTACATAAAGATATGTGAATAGAGTTTAACTTTTTTCCACTTGTCAGGATATTTGTAACAAGGTTTTGGAAGATTTCAAAATTTGGTTCAATAGCATAATCAGCATCAAACAAAATTTCCTTAGTAGGCTCAGAATGATTAAAATCAGCTTGTCTTCAATTATACATTCAACTAAATTTTTACTAAAAAATATTTTTACTAAAAACTAGATATTTGAATAGTGCTTTCCCCCCATTTTGTCAAGCTATTTACAGCTGCTTAACAATATCTTAACAGACTTCAGAACTAATTCTAGTATTAGGATCACCATTTAGTAAAACTTCCTTTGTAAGTTTACTATGATTCAAAACTTTGTGTTCTACATTTATTCATCATAATCTAGGTCAACTGGGTGTTATGCCTCTCCCCAGTCACCTTTTAAATGAGAGAATATGAGGAATTACCACATTCTTTCATTCTTTTAAGTGGTAGCATGTCTAGCTAGCAATCAAAAGATCAATGGTATAAATCCCCAAGAGGGCATAGCTGATTTTTCATGTTTCACGCACAGAGATGCAAGGCCTTAAACGTCTCTACAGCCTGCTATTAAAAATCAGTAGTGTTTCAATATTTTATTGGAAAATCCTAATTATTTCTTATGAATATTGACAACTGCAAGCTATTTCTCATTTATTTACTTCCTGCAGACTAGTTTTTTTTTTTTTTTTTTTTTTTTTTTTTTTTTTTTTTTTTTTAACAATATTACTGGATTTAAGACAAATTACCTCCTGCAAACTGGCAATAAAATTTCCAATTTTTACATAATGTAAAGAAAAAAAGGTGTGCTAACTGATTAATCATCCACATAAAGCAGAAAATGTTATTTCATTTAAATACTACTCATGCCTATTTATATCTCAAATACAACTCATAAAAATGTGTATTTAGTGTAGTTTTTTTTATCGTTTACTTTGTTCAGTCTTGGAATTCTTTCAATGAATGTGGAAGTTTATAATTTTCTGTCTCCTTTTGCATTTCCACTTTACTATCTGCTAGAACTCCAATCTCCAGAATGATCTAACATCCGGACCTCATGATCATAAGGACAATTTTTTTTTTCCCCTTACAAAGTCTCAGAATAGATAATATAATACTCAAGGAAAAACAGATGTGCTGATTTTTTTTCCAACTAGATCCCTGTATGTCACTTTCAAGCATCTGAAATCACACCATGGCCAATAACAATACATTGACTGACACTGGCCACAGCCACACTTTTGGCCCTTTAAAATGGTTGTAAGAATTACCATCTTTCTATCTGACTTGAAGTGAAGCTTAAGTCATATTGGCTGGAATGTGAGGTTATTCACACTGGTTTCGCTTTGTTGGGATAGTAGTGGAGAGGGAGAACAAATTAAATTCTAAGGATAAGTTAGCAGCAAATACTCTTCTTTAACTTTCTATTTTGAAGCAGCTCAATTATTAACGTTATCAAAATTATAGTTTCAACAAATAATAATTTTTCCATTTTACTCTTTCTCCAAGACTAAACATCCATCACTGTAGATGGATATCACACTGAAATGCAGCTTTTTAAAAAAACTGATGCAGCAGTAAGACCATCCAAGAATTCTAGAAATATTTTAATACAAAATCTGATGTTTGGGGCACTGCAACACATGTGTCTGCAGATATTTAAAAAATGATTGATATGATATACAGCCAGCTACCAAATTTCATGATGATGAAAGCTATGAATCTGATGTATTTCAGCTATAACAAGTAAAAAGCGAAATTTTCCAATTAATATAACATAAACAGAAATGAAAATGATAAAACTGAAGTCTTACATTGAGATGACAATGCTTCAACCAAAAATCAGTTAACAGAATGATGAATATCAGTTGCATGGTTTTAAATCCAGAAAGTACCGTTATTTTGGCATTGAGTCACATTTAGATTTTGCACTGTGGTGATTCGGAGGGGGGAGGGGGCTTCTTTTACGCAAAATATAAAATGTTAATAAGGAATATTTTTATTTTATAATTTCTAAAACTGACCTTGCTAGATTTAAAAACAAGATCTAAAATCTGAAAAATTTCCAAAATCACAGAAGTTCTCACGATTTCAGATCTTGGATTTATACTGTACAATCAAAAGTTGTTAATTCGGACACCCATAATCTGGAATGATCTATAATCCGGATTTCAAAGCTACAAACTTTGTGCGCATGCGTCACTTTGACGCATGCGTATAGGCGTTTATACGTGCGCGTAAGACCTTTACGACTGCGCATATGCGTGTGCGCATGCGCATAATACGTTTACGCATGCGCATTTAATGTATAACGGACAGCATAAGCTAAAATTATCTAATTATCTATTTCAGTTAATGTTGCAGATTGCGTTGTTCCTTAATCTTCAAGCCCACCAGCGGCCGACCGGTAACGTCGCTGAACACTGGTAGTTCGGTCCGAGGTTCGAATCCTGCGAACGGGCTGGCTGCATGGGCATTTTCATGGTTTTCCCTATACGAGCCAGTTTCCCTTAGAAAGTCCTCCACGAAGGCATTCCGCCCTTAAGGCAGATAGCCCTCGAGTGCCATAATCTAATAAACCAAACCTTAATCTTCGAATTGGATCTGGCTTATTATTTTTTGCAGACTGTTGGAGCAATTTTATAAAAGTAAGCTTGAACTTTCGATTATGTCAAATAGAATTTCCAATGCTGGAGCTCCCAAAGGATCTACAAAGCGAAAGTATGTTTCGATGTCCATCAAACAAAAAGTGGAATTGCTGCAAAAAATGGATAAAGGCATATCCGTCTCAAAATTATGTGAGGAGTATAACATAGGAAAGTCAACTGTATATGACATAAGAAAAAGAAAATGGAACTTTTTGATTTTTTTGTGGATTCCGACACCCCACTTGCAATGAATAACAGAAAAAGGGTTCGTTATGCTAAAAGAGACGATCATGATACAGTGATGATTGAATGGGTCAGACAGCGTCCCAGCGAGGGCGTGCCATTGACGAGTCCAATGGTAATGGCTTAAGCCAAAATATTTCATGAAGAAATGAACTTAAACGAAGAGTGCACATATTCGACAGGTTGGTTAACCAAGTTTAAAAATCGCCATAGTATAAGACAATTAAAAATTTCAGGTGAAAAATCTTGAGCTGATAATGAAGCTGCTGAACAATTTGCAGATGAATTCATTAACTAGTGAACAATTATCTGCAGAACAAATTTACAATGTTGATGAAAGTGGTCTTTTCTGGCAATATGTACCGTGAAATACTTGGCAACCTCTACAGAAAAGGCTCCAACTGGTGTCAAAGATTCCAAAGCGAGACTAACAATTTTAGCGTGCGGAAATGCTGCAGGAACGCACAAGTGCAAACTTTTCATAATCAGAAAACATGCACGACCTCGAGCATTTTAAGGAGTAACGATTTTCCCTGTTATATATCATGCAAATAAAAGAGCATGGATGACACAAGTGTTGATGAATGATTGGTTTGAAAATCATTTTATACCCGAGGCTCGGCGACATTTCAATTCGGTTGGTTTACCCAATGACTCAAAAATAGTCCTGATTGTTGATAACTGTTCGGCGCATACTTCACTTAAAGTTCTAGTGAAAGATAATGTATCTATATTATTCTTCTCTCCAAATTGTACATCTATCATTCAGCCTATGGATATGGGAATAGTGCACGCGCTGAAATGCAAATATAAAGCAGCATTTTTTAAATCTATGTTAACTTTCTTGAACAGTGGCAAGACTATTCAAGAATTTTTAAAATTTTTTAGCATAAAATCTGCCTTGTGGAGCATCAAGATCGTGGGAGGATGTGTCTCCAGGTACGTTAAAAAATGTTTGGCATAATTTATGGCCATCTACCATATTTCATGGTGAGGAGGATGAAGATGATAGCCGCGAATTTGAAGGTTTTCGGACATCGCAAACTAAAGGTGAAATTTTTCAGTTATTGGATTTTGTATAGAAATGTGGAGAAGCGGTAATAAATAAAGATGATATAAGAGAAGTTTTTCATTGCGACGACAATCCCCCAATCATCAATCAATTAACAGACAGCGAAATCTGTAGTATGGCTCTAGATCCAGAAAATATCGCTTCCGATAGTGAAGAAAGTGACACAGAGGTTATTGAAAACGAAACAATTTTGATTGACAAATTAGTCGGTATTCTTGACACAGCAATTATAGGACTTAACAAGTCCGGATTAACGACTTTTGACTGTATATGTCTTCCAGTAATAGCAGCATTTTTCTATATCCAAATATTTTTTCGGCAGTTTGAAGCTAACTTAACAAAGTTTAAGATATTTTCATATGAACAGCTCATATAATAAATAAGTTTGTAATAATAATCGTTTCAACTTTTAGAAATCTAGTGACATAAAATAGGTATAAAATAGAGACTGGAACAGAATAAGGAAGGATTCTAGAGATAATATTGTTTTAGTCAAAGATTCCATTCCTGCAATGTTGAAATGTATTCATTCCTATAAAAAGAATTTAAGAAATTTGAGCTTTATAAATATTTTAAACTCGATAAGTTTACAGATAAAACCATCATTCCAAGTGAAATGAAAACAATAACTCCTTAAAAGTATTATGTTAATAAAAACTAAAAATTTAAACTCTTACCACTGACACTGAAAGCCAAACGATATAGTTGAGGACTCACAAGTGCCCTTGAAGTCATTTCAAACTTATGATGGCCATGAATTTTCGGTTTGGGGGCAGAGACATAATAACTTAACCTATAAATAATAAAAAATAATTGAATTATTTAATGATCAAGTAACAATTTTATGAGAAGATAAATTCTCTGTTGATTTAAAATGTTTTGTAAATCAGAGTAAAGAATACACACATTTAAAAAAATATAAATATGGTAATTTTATAGTTGCATAGACAGCACACATCTGAACAGAGTGAAATGATTTTGTGGTAAAATTCAGCAGAAACACTGTTTTAAAAGTAAATATCATGTAGACATTTCTTTTTTACACTCAACATAAAACTTAAATGGTGGCAAAAATAATTTTAAAAAAACTAAATAAATAGTATATATATATGTGCATACTGCAAAATTTACTGTTTTAAAGAAGTGCAAATTTCAGCCATTGCAAAAATCTGAAATACAGTAGGCACCACTTATTGTCATCACAGTTAATGTTATCATTTGTAGTTGTTGTATTGTCAATGCCTCATGCATTTGTATATGGAAAATACAAAAAGATATATATGCACCCAGAAAAAATTGAGCTGCAACTATGAAATGTAGCATGCAAATGTAGTTTGACAAGTTGTGTAAATGATTAAATTTGAAACATCAATCAGCATTGTGGAGTGAAATAACATGCATCTGACGTGCATAGCTGGTAGGATATAAAAGAGGAGGTGCGGCAAGTGAGGAGCATTTAACACATCATTCAATAAGTCCCGGGACTAACTATAAAAACAACATCGATTTAAAAAAATTCACATTTATTCATCAATATAATTACCATCAAGAGCTATGCAATCATTCGAACGCTTTTCTAACTTTTCAATAACGTGCTTGTTAAGTGTTTGTCCTTGTCCGTAAAATAAGCTTCAGTGGCAGCAATGACTTCCTTATTCGAGCCAAATCTTTTCCCCTGGAACATATTTTTGAGATCAGCAAACAGCCAGTAGTCACTGGGGACTGGATCTGGGGAGTATGGTGGGTGGGGAAGCAGAGTGAAGCCCAACTCATTCAATGTAACCAGCATTTGCACTGACTTATGACACGGGGCATTGTTTTGACTGAAAATGATTTTTTTTCCTTCATGTGCAGTCTTTTTTTTTTTTTTTTTTTTTTTTTTTTTTTTTTTTTTGATTTCGTTTTTCAGACACACCAATAACTCACTGTAATAGGTGCTATCGATAGATTTTCCCTTTTCAAGGCAGTCGATGTAAATCATACTTCGCACATCCACCCAAAACACTGATGGCATGACTCTGACTGCTGCATTTTTGGACTTTTCGGATGGTTTCACCAGCTGCATGGGACTCAGCTGACTGCTGCTTCAATTCTGGAGTGAAATAGTGGATCCATGTTTCGTCCACTGCCACATATCGCCTCAAGAAATCCTGTTTATTGCGAGTAAACAGTGACAAACAGCTTTGTGAATCGTCGACTCATTGTTGCTTTTATTCCATTGTCAGCACATGTGGCACCCATTTGGATAACACTTTTTTCATGCCAAACTTTTCATGTAAAATCATACACGCGCTTCCAGTTGCATATTTGGCAACCTATGACACTCAAAAATCAGGAAATTTTTTTAAGAAATCAGGAGATTTTTCACAGTGTTAAAAAGACTTTATAAATGATAAAAATATAATTTTTAAAAATGAATTAACTTTAGATAGTTACTAATTCTTAAATGCAAGCAACACAAAACCTTACACGTAAAAGACATTTTTGTTACTTGCATCGTTTAAAGGGGAAAAAAAAAAAGGACACTTTATTCAGTTTTTGTACAAATGATATGAAGAGTGGCAGATTTTGCTTTCGTTAAGAAAGAAACTTCATAATTTTGTTCATAGCAACTGCCACGTAGACCTGCTTTCGCTAATAAAAGTTTTTCTAATGTGTCAACATTTAGTCTTTCGCAACAACACTGAAAATCCTCTCACACTCTGCATGACTGTGGGGAACTGTCAAGATGGCCAACATAATTCTAGACAGTTCATTATATTTTAAAATTCCATCAGCACCTTTCAGTTTTCCAATTAAACTACATTGGGTGTCAATCCTAGATGATTTTATAACTCCATCCAAGTTTTCTAATTGTAAACTGCAAAACTGCGACTGCAATATATCAGTGGCAATATCAATATCATCATCTTTCATGACAAAATGAAGTAACACAGGAAATCTGTTCAAAAAGTACCTTATATCAGAAAAAAATCCATTTGCTAGAGCAGAAACATCAGCAACTTTAGCATGCAAAATCACTTCATCGTTGACTGGAAATTTATATAGTATGTAATCACATACTCACCAGAAGTAACTTCTAACATGAAGATAAAACTTATTTTTGTCTTCTTCTGAAAGTTCTTCCACTACTTTTGTAGTTGCAGCTCCTATTACCAAATCTTCATCTTTCTTCTGATTTTCTATCTCACCATAAATCACATCATATATAGAATTACAAGACAAAACACAGACTGGTTTTACAAACTTTGATAAAATATCTTTAAGCAGATCATAAATCACTGATTTCAAAACATGAATTAATGGAATTCTGCTTTGTAGAACTGTGTTAAGAACATCGAATGATGGCAAAATGAATTGTAAAAAAAAAAAAAAAAAAAAAAAAAAAAAAAAAAAAAAAAGCTTTGTTAAGGTCCAAAGATAAAACAAATATTCGTTCTTCACAAGATAAACTTACAGTAATCGGAATATGTTTCGTGTGTTGAGCAATTTTTTTTTATTTTGAGAGAAATTTGTATCAGCTTTACGCTTATATTTTGCAGTATTATTTTGAGAACTGTCAGTTGAATTGCTGAATGGTGCAGAAATCATGGTCATTCAGGGACATCTCAACACTTTTAAGGAAGTCCCTTAGTAGAGTGGTCTGCACCCTGGTGTCGCATATGGAAACCACTGTATTGGAATAACCTAAGAGTGTAGTGCGTCATTGTGAATCTAAAGTATTGTCAAGTCAGAGAATGATCAAGAAAATAACTTAATATGTCAAGTAAGTTCTTCATAGTTTATAATGCATAAAGTATAAGATTGGCTTTGATAACGATGATAAATGTGAATGATGGCTTCGATTTTTGGCGATTTCCAAATGACTGGCTAGTGAGATCTACGCAAAAGGTTTCATAGCCAGTCAGAGGGAGGTACTGTCATCTTTCATAGAAATGTGTAACGCGGGCAGATTTCGACCGTAGTTTACGGGGAGATCTCGAGATCTCGACAGTCGAGTTCTCCCTTATCTTCATGTCGAGTTCTCCCTGATTTGTATATTGTAAGTCAAGTCTGTTGATATTTCTTTACCCGATAGTTAGTGAACAAATTAATATTAATTTTGTTTTCCTTTTTATGATATTTTAGGGTTAAAAATGTCTTGCACTTATGAATATAAGAGAGCACTTGGCAAATGGAAGCCAGAAGATATGACGGCTGCCATACGAGAGGTGAAAGAGAACAAAATGCTGCTTGTAACTGCGGCCAAAAGATTCGAAGTGCCGAGGAACACATTAAGGGCCAGGGTACTAACAGGTGCAGTGTCAAACTGGCAAATTGGAAAGGAAGCAACACTAGATACTGCTATGGAAAAGGAACTGGTTGAACATATATTATTGCTGGATTCAAAGGGATTTGGCATGGCCATAAATGATATTAGGGAGCTAGTATTTAAATTTGTGGAGAAAAATAATTTAACGCACCGGTTTAACAAAGACAAGACCAAGGCAGGATACGACTGGGTATATTCTTTCTTAAAAAGGCACCCTTCTTCCCTTTCTTAAAAAGACTCAATAGAGATGAAGTACGAAATTTTTTTTGACAAGTTACGGAAAATGTATGATGCGTTGAACCAGTGGGAAGAACTGGCAAGAATTTTGAATGCCGTTGAAACTGGACTGCAGCTAATTTTCAAACCTGGCAAAGTGATTTCTTGGAAAGGCAAAAAAAATGTGAATCACACCACAACAGGAGAAAAGCTGTCTACTGTTACTGCCACAGTCTGTAGCAACAGGAAGTGTCATCCTCCCTTTGCCATAATGAAGGGTGTTAGACAAAAACCGTCTTATGCCAAAGGTTTACCAAATGGGTCAATGTTAGAGATGTCAGACTCTGGATACATGAGAAGCAAAGTCTTCAACAAATTTCTTGACCATCTGAAAAAACACAAACCACCAAAAAAAATTTTACTCATTATAGATGGACACACCTCTCACTGAAAAGATCTAGATACTCTGCTTCAATGTTTGGAATTGAGATGCTATGCCTCCCTCCACATAGCACTCACAAATGCCAACCCCTTGATATTTTATATTTCAAGAGCCTGAAACATTTTTATACTGAGGCATGCAGAAACTTTGTTCACCACCATCCAGGAAAGGAGATCACCAAAGAAAACTTTGCAGAAATATGTGAAATGTGGAATATACCCATACAATAGAGATATTTTGGCAGATAATGTGTTTGAATATGAACTCATGTTTACTACAAATGGCACTATTCCTGCTATGGTAGAGGAAGACGATAACCTCCAGAAGTCATCATCACCATCTACTACATCAGCTTCTACACCATTTTTGGAATTATCCCCTGTACCAGTAGTACAGAAATACCCTGTATGGAATAGGAGAAAAACAAGAATCAGCCATTATAACATCCGCAGAATACAGGAATCAACTGTGCAGTAAAACACCAATACAAGGACCTGGACGTCAGGAGGAACTCAACCCAGTACCTCGAGGGATCTCGAAGACAGTGAAAATTACTGTGGTGAGTGCAGGTTCATGTTATGGACATGTATGCTCTCACTCACAAAGCAGAAATTCTCATCTGATTTGCAAGGTTTTGTTTTAGATAAAATCTAGAGAAAATTCAATTGCTTTCAGACGTCCAAAATCACTTTTTCTTTTTTGTTCATATAATGAAGTATTAAGCCAAGTTCCATAAAAATCGTGAGAAATTTTAAGAATAAGTAAAAGTCGGGAGAAATATATTGTAAATCGGGTTGGTGGAAGAGTGGTCGAAAATCGGGAGAGTTGGCAACTCTGCAGTTGATATGTTTACCATCTCGGCAATCTCACAAACTTTCACTTTGCAGTCATTCATCACGATTTTCAACACTTGTTTCACATCTTCCAGAGGGACTGCTTCATTTGGCCTACCTGAGCATGCCACATCATTTGTATTCGTGCAACCGTGCTTGAAATCAGCATACCAATGGCAAATGGTTGTTTTCGATGGAGCAGTGTCTGGATAACATTTTTTAAGCCATTGCTGAGCTTGCACAGTATTTTTGCTCATTAAATAGCAATGTTTAATCAACACTTGAAATTCATTTTTCTCCATTTTGTCCATCATATGCGTAAGTAATGTCACTTTCACCACAGTAGCTTCGCTGCTTCCAGTCCGAATGCCATTAAAATCAGACATGTGTCATTCGAAGATTAGTTCTTTCAAACAACGATGTCAAGTTGATATTACTAACACCATCTTTTGGTTAGTCCCAGGACTTATTGAACAATGTGTTATAACCGTGCTGATGGCTTGGTTACATGACTCTGTAATGAAAGATGCCTTTAAGATGTACTTGATGGCATTACAAACAGTTGTCAGATTTTGAAAGGAGTTGCATCCTAGAGCTGAAGGAGGCTGGTTGGTTGAACAAGCAAATCAGCCAGCATATTGATCAAAGGGATATGGTCATTGTCCGTTGTTGGAACCCGTGGCTCAGTGAAGACATAGTCAGCCACCATAGTGGCTCGGAATGTCCTCGGGCTACCAATCCGCAAGATGATCATGCATTTAGAAGAGCTGCCATTGTCTGCACCAAAAGTTGTGCTATCATCATATTAAAGCCATTTGCCAACTTGCAGGGATCCCAGGATACTCAAGGATACTATTCGCATAAGACTAGGTGATGCTGGGCTCAGATCTAGACATCCATTAAGACACTTGCCATTGACACTCCATCATAAGCAGTGTTTTTTTTGGCATGGTGCCACTCTCGCTCTAGCTGGATAGTGCCCAGTTGGAGAAATGTGATCTTCAGTGATGAATCACACTTTTCTGTCAATGCTGATGATTGCTACATACATGTCTGGAGATGGATAAGTGAGTGGTCTGATGTACCATTTGTCACCAAGCAACACACGGCCAGAACATAAGGTGTGACAGTCTGGGGAGTGATCACCTGGGATAGCCATTCACCATAAGTCATGCCGCGAGTTACTCTGACTGCTCATAGATACATTGATGATATTTTTCAGTTGATCATACTGCTTATGGCTAGCAGGTCATCCAGGTTCTGTTTTCCAGCAAGACAATGCTCAGCCACATACAGTACGGCTTTCTAAACAATGTCTTCGACATGTTGATGTCCTCAAATGGTATTAAACATATTTCGGACATGTTGAGCAGTCAAATTCATCCATGCAGAAATACATCCCAATTCGCTAACCAACTATTCCATTTGGGGCACAATCTACTACAAAGGGGCACTAGTAGCTTAATAGACTCCACGCCCAACCGAGTACCAGCTTGTATAGCTGCCATGGGTGGCTTGACCACTTACTGATTTTCACACCCTTTGTATTTTTACTCATAAATAAAACACTTTTTTCACCCCAGTTTAGAATAATTTGTTTATCAAGTTATAGATGTGACTCAGTTTTTTCTAGGTGCACACATTTCTTTGCCACTTGTGATCAATAAGTCAGTTACTGTTATCAAACATTATTCAATAAACTATTTAAACTGAATTAAATTTTGCCAAGTAAAACATAAAATGACCAAATCATGATGAAACAGAGGAAAAAAGATTGTCAAATAACACATCTAAGTCTCCAAGTAAGGGAAGAAGTGGCTAAGCATCTAGATTTTGTATAAGGCAACATAAGTCTAAGAACTACATCTCAGAAAAGACAAGAAAGAACTATTTAATGCATAATGAACTTTTAATAAATGATAAAATAAAAGAAGATACAGAATTAAAAATATCTCCAACTAACATGAATTGTGAAAAATACAGTACTTGGATTATATTATTAAAAACCTCAAGCTGCAGATTAAGCAACAGAAGAAGATATCTGCAGGTTACTTTCTGAAACAAATTTGAGCATATCGCAATAAAATTTTCTGAAGAAGTTAACAAAAAAAGTGAATTTTCTACAAATGCTAAGATGAAGAGTGCTCTATGAGTATTAAGATTAAGGGTACAATAATTAGGGGTCAAATAATTTCTAAAAGTATTATGAACAGTCCAAAAAAAAATTATGCAAGAATTCAAAAAAATAATAATTATAACTGTTAATGACTCCTTTCTTAATTAAAATGCTGTCAGAGTTAGTATTTAAATGCTTCTAGTTAGTTACATTTATATTAAATTAGTTAAATTCTAACGATATTTCAAAAAATACTTTTTCATTTGCTTAATGTTATTAAAACAGTAATGGAGAAACATGATCACATTAAACAGCGATTACTGTAAAGGAAACGTCTGATTTTTTTTTCAAACAGCTTTGCATTTTATAAATTAGAGCAATGAGAAAAGCAAAAATCAAAATAAGAAATATCCATTAGATGCTACTAACTTAATTCATGATTGGATGCTTCTCAAAAAAATTTCGACTAATTATTTTACAGATATTTTAGTTATGGAGCTACTACATTATAAAAATATCATTCAATAAAGCTATTAAAATTTAACTTTTATACCTGAGCAAAGAAATCACAGGCATATAAAAAGGCATCCCACAAGCTAGTTCAGCATCACAGTCAATAGGTTCAGCATTTTTAACTTCATCTATAAACTTCTTAAGCATTTTTGGTCCATTATAATCCAGAGGCACAATCCAATAGCCAGAATCTTCTGATACAGCATGCCCTGTCATGTTGTAAAACTTGCGTTCTGTATGCTATGAGTAAATAATCTGAGTTTCAGTTTTAAATTTGATTAGTTGTAGCATTTTAAATAAAAGGAGAAACTCTGAGCAAATTCTTTTATAAATACATCATAAAAACTTGCAAAAAAAAAAATTTTCATACAGAAGTGCCCAGACTAAAGTACAAATCTTTTAAAGTTAAACGTCCACTTATGAATTTCTCAGTTTTTGATATTTCATGATTGTTCAAATTTTATAAATGCTTCACCTGAGAACTTTAAAATGATTACATATTTCATTCAAAAATTACATATTTTTTAATAATTTCAGATGATGCTCTGATTTGGATAGATTACATATTTCAGAATATTACAGTTTAAACTAAATAAAAGTGCATAATCAAAAAATTTTCAAATTTTAAATAACTGTAAAACCATGCATATATTTTTGCAATAAAAATTATTAAAAAAGTAGTGAAAGTGTTATTTTTGTTGTAAAAACCAAGTCGAATAATTATTAAGACTTTTACCACACAACGAGCACCACAAAATAGAAGAAGCCTTTCAGTGCTTTAAGAAATTTAGTTATTAATGATAACAATAATATCCCTAAGAGCCTATTTGAAATTATTATCTAAGAAATAGCAAAAAGTGTCCATTCATTCATTATGCTATTATAAATGTTAAAATTTAGAATGCTATACAAATCCTTGTATTATATTCTTTCCATTTATGAAAGAAATGAAATTCAGATTAATAGTATAATGCATTTAGCACAAACTTACTATAAAGTAATCAGAATCTTTATTTGTATGATCATTAAAAGAAATTCCAATTAAACTCAATTGTTCAAAATGTACGAGGGCTATCCAGAAAGTAGATTACGTTTTGGAATAAAAAAATAAACAAAGTATAGGAAACAAATTTTATTATATACAGATGAAAGCCACACTCAAATACTACTTTTCTACATAGTCACCATACAAATTAAGGCATTTATCGTAGCGATGTACGAGCTTGGAAATTCCTTCGTCGAAAAATTCGGCCGCCTGCGCCTTCAACCACTTCGTTACCTCTTCTTGCAGCTGTGCGTCGTCATCAAAACGCTGCATAGCCAGCCACTTCTTCATTGCTGGGAATAGGTGGAAGTCGCTCGGTGCCAGGTCGGGACTGTACGGCGGATGAGGAAACAACTCCCACTTAAAAGATTCAAGAACTTTACGAGTGACATTTGCCGTGTGGGGCCGGGCGTTGTCGTGAATCAACAAGATCTTAGAGCTCAACATTCCTCTGCGCTTGTTTTGAATTGCTCTTCTGAGTTTTTGGAGAGTTTGGCAATACCTTTGAGAGTTTATTGTAGTGCCTCTTTCCAGGAAGTCCACCAAAATTACACCTTTTCTGTCCCAAAAAACAGTCGCCATCATCTTCCTTGCCGACATTGTTTGCATGCATTTCTTGGGTTTTTGGGGGAGAACTTGTGTGCCCCCACTGCATTGATTGCAATTTCGTTTCACAGTTCACATGTTTCACCCATGTTTCGTCACCAGTAACGATGCGATCGAGTAAAGAGTCACCATCCTTATGGTAAGCGTCCAAAAAGTTCAACGCTGCAGCCATTCGCTGATTTTTGTGGTCCTCTGTCAAGATTTTTGGAATCCATCTTGCACAAAACTTGTGGTAACCAAGCTTTTCGCTGATGATTTCGTGCAACAAACTTCGCGAAATTTGTGGAAAACTCAAAGAAAGTTCCGTTATTGTGAAATTTCGATTTTCACGGACTTTAGCATCGACTTTTTTCGAGAAGTTCGGCGGTCACTATGCTGGGTCTCCCACTTCGATCTTCGTCGTGAACATTGGTTCGGCCATTTTGAAATCTTATGACCCACTGACGCACTCCACCTTCAGTGATAATGTTGTCCCCATACACTTCACGAAGCTGCCGATAGATTTCTATCGGTTTACAGTTTTTTGCAGTCAGAAACCTTATTATTACTGAGCGCACCTCGCAGCTCGCGGGATTTTCAATTAACGCAGACATTTCAAACCGTCACAGTATCTGAACGGAGCACAGCACGAACCTCTCACTAGCACGGCTAGATGCAGACTGAGCTGCGCAACGCTCTGACCCCAAGATGGCCGCGCTAGCCCCGCCCCTAGCGGACACAGACGGAAACGTAATCTACTTCCTGGACCCGATGGCTCAAAGTAGTTATATACTTTGATTATCCCTAAACGAATGCACATTGGCAGATGCAAGTTAATATAAAGACAAATAAAAAGAAAAAGAGTATGCAAGGGACAAAACGGTAAAGGATTACTGCACAGAAAACAAATGATTACAGTTTGAGAAAAATTGGATAGTTTATTGAAGTGATAGTGCTTCACAAAGTGAAAACGGTCAGTAACGCATTTGTCCACCTCTGGCCCTTATGCAAGCAGTTATTCGGCTTGGCATTGATTGATAGAGGTTGCGAATGTCCTCCTGAGGGATACCGTGCCAAATTTTGTCCAACTTGAGCGTTACATCGTCAACATCCCGAGCTGGTTGGAGGCCCTGCCCATAACGCTCCAAACGTGCTCAACATGAGATAGATCCGGCCAAGGTAATGTTTGGCAAGCACTAAGGCAAGTAGTAGAAACATGTGCAGTGTGGGGGCAGGCATTATCTTGCTGAAATGTAAGCCCAGGGTGGAGTGACATGTAAGGCAACACAACGGGCCTTGCTGGCCAAGGTAATGTTTGGCAAGCACTAAGGTAAGTAGTTAAAACATCTGCACGGTGGCATGACATGTAGGGCAACACAACGGGCCTTGCTGGCCAAGGTAATGTTTGGCAAGCACTAAGGTAAGTAGTTGAAACATGTGCAGTGTGAGGGCAGGCATTATCTTGCTGAAATGTAAGATGTGGTGTGGGTGACATTTGGCAACACAACGGGCCTTAGAACATTGCCGACGTGCTGCTGTGCTGTAAGGATGACAACCAAAAGGGTCCTACTATGAAATGAAATGGCACCCCAGACCATCACTCCTGGTTGTCGGCCTGTCTACTGGAAGACAGTCAGTCAGGTTGGTATCACACCGCTGTCCGGGGCGTCTCCAGACTCGCCTTCGCTGGTCATCGGGCTCAGTTCAAAGCAGGACTCATCACTGAAGATTATTCTACTCCAGTCAATGACATTAAAGTGCGAATGAGCCTGGCACCACTGCAAACAGGCTTGACGTTGTACAGAGGTCAATAGAAGTCGGTGCAAGGGAACCTATGACTTCAGCCCCCTTTCTGTGAGCCGTCTATGAATGGTCCTTGAAGCACTAGTTGCACATACAATCAATGATAATGATGCATCTGGGGCTGTGAGTGCCGCTCTGACGATTGTTCGCTCTTCACATTCTGTCGCTTCACTAGGCCTACCGCTTCCTTCTTGAAGCTGTGTGCGGTCATGGTTCACCCATTTCTGCCAACATCGTCTAATAGTGGCATCGCTCCCGCTCAAATGTCAAGCTATTTGCCGATAAAGACCAACCGGCATCTTTGAACACAACTACATGACCTCTCAATTTCCAACATCTGCGCATATCGTTCACGCACCTGTATGCGAGGCATAGTTACTGTCTACCAGAGTACATGGAATAAAATTCGTGAAGAATTTATGACCTAGAATCGTAATTTCTCCTCTTAAATATCCTGCCAGTTGCACAGATCAGATGCACTGTAGCGACAACCGTTCATTCATTGGCAGCCAAAGTGTAAAACGTTGCATTTTCCATTGAAACCTGTATGCATATCAATGTGTGTCCAATTTGCTTTATATCTTTTCGATGCGTCGTGGTGCATCCTCTCTCTCTCTCTCTCTTTTTTTTTTTTTTTTTTTTGGTCCAAGAGTGTATAAACACATGTAATTGAGTATGTTTCATATTTAATCATCCTTCTGCTGAACAGTATCAACCATCTGTAAGGTAAAAAATATCAGCCAAATAGATTTTAACATGACAGTTCCATTTCAGACACCTTGTCTGTGGCCCACCACCAGCCCACCACCAGCGGTAAAGTCGTTGAACACTGGTAGTTCGGTCCGAGGTTCGAATCCCAAAAATGGGCTGGCTGCATGGGTGTTTTCGTGGTTTTCCCTATGTGTAACGTGTATACGAGCCAGTTTCCCTTGGAAAGTCTTCCACAAAGGCATCCCTCCCCCTAGGCAGATAGCCCTCGAGGCTTTGCCGTAAATAAATAACCTAGCCTAATCAGACACCTTGTTCTTAAAAGAAAATGATACATTTTTACAAATTTCACAACCCAGTGTTCTAAAGAAAGTCTCTTTCTTTCAAATGCCAATAATCGTTCGACAAAATATGATTAAACATGCCAAAGCAAACTGTTCATGCAGAGATATTTGCAGCAGCATGAAACTTTCATTAAAACTCAATATAAGTTATATAATGTTTTATGCTTGTACAAATGCAAAATAAGCAGATTGTATCTAACTTTTGTTTTGGTATATTTGAAGATATATTGTTATGAATTTTGTACTTAGATAGGTAATTTAAATAGAATTATACGTACAATTGTATTTTTCTGCATAATGTAGCATGAGACAAATTTTTAAGAGAAAGCTATACTGGAAAAATAAGAATACAGAGCCAAGTGCATTTAACATTGATTAAATAGGTATATCCGTAATTTCGGAAGTTATCGCCAAGGTGACATTGGTTTTGGCGACTTATTTTGGCCTCGCCAAAAGTCGGAAAAATTGGTGACATTTTGGTATGGTCCCTACATGATCATAATATGTATTGAAATTGAATAAATATAATTTACCACTATATTAGCTGTAACTGTAATCTCACACTCTTATTGTTTTCCTGTAATTTTGAGAAGCAGAAAGTACCAGAAATATCTCGGCCAATTGAAAACTATAATAGCCTAGAGAGAGAGCATCCGAGTTCAGCTGCTTAGTTATTGTTGTTGCGAGTTGTTTAGTTTTGCATGAACTGAGATATCCAAGTTAGCTTTCTCTTTAAATGCGCTTTGCACTGCATTTTGTTTAATGTTCTTAGTAGTTTAAAGTGTAACACTACTGATTATACTGCAAACACTTGTACAAATATTTCTGTGGAAAATTCCAGAGTTCTGAAGTATTTCTCTAGATAAAAATAAATTTTTATTAACCTATTATCAGACTTGTGCATTCAATCTATTACGAACCCATATTCACGCAGCAATATTATCCTGAAGAATATGATAGCAAGCTATCAAGACTACAGGATTGTGACATTGGCAGCTGATGAATGCGATGTCATAAAAATATCTTCAGAAGTTGCTTGTATATGCTTCATAATGATCTCTTGCCTGAAAACTAGTTTTTCACATCATTTCCCTCTTTGCAGTTTAAATTTCGAATTAATGTATCAATACATTTTACTTCAAATTCTTTTACTCATAATAAGAATGCTTTCATGAAAGTGAACTAAAATATAGCACTAAAAGCTAAATTAATTTTGCATATTAATTTTGAATATATGCAAAGTTTAGTTTCCTGAGACTATCAGTAGTTAACAGTTTTCTTATGGCAACTAATGTAACAGGTAAAAGCGAGCTAGTCTTTCTTGGCATACAGCCAATGTAATCTAAGCTTCTCTCTACAAAAATTCAACTTCAATGGTTCATTTTGAAAGAGGTAAAATGTTCTTTTTAATTTTTTGAATGTTAGGTATTTTATTTGAAAGTGTTAATACTAAAAATATTAGGGGACTAGCCTAGTCCCTCTAGTCAATTGATGGCATGTCACTGATCATACTAAAGACTGATAGTTCTCAGTCATCATGACATAAAAGGCCAAACAAATGTATCACAGTCATGCATGTACAGCTGTAGAGCAGAAAACTTTCCTTTTTTATATTGGTTAAAAAGAATAATAATTTATATGTTAATAAATGCATATATAATATACATGCACTACTTAAGTAATAGGAGATCCATTCTATATGAGGAGAATGAATGAAACAAAAAGAAAAGGTGTGAAAAAGGCTCAGAAACACTGTATTTCATTTTCATTAACTGGACTTCATTTTTAAAACTTCTAAAATATCTAAAATTATTTTTTAAAAATTCTTATATTGTTTTCAAACATTATTACACATTTCACATCATAAAATCTGTAAAGTTTACAATCAGTTTTCATGAAAATAAATATTCAGAAATAAGAACATAAAAAAATGAGGAAAAAATAAGAAAAGAGCCAATCAAAAATATTACCAACACATATAACCTCATTGGAACAGGAGAATCCTCTTCTCCAGAATAAGGGAATCCAAGCGGAGTAAAACAAACTAACATGAAAGTTATACCAAAAATGCACAACAGCAGCATCAGGACTTTACGAATAGAAGCCATAACCCGGACAAGAGAAAACTGCAACACAAAAATTTCAAAATTAATTTTTAAAAATAAATGCAGATACAAAATAAATAAATATTTATCAAAAATAGAATATAAAATATAAATTGTAACTAGCAGGCTTAATCAGGAAGTATGGTGACTTTCAGCAAGTCCCACTGGCTGCTGATCATGAAATCAGTAGTTAATGTGAAAAATATAAGCAATATCTCAAATGTAGTAGCTATTTAATAATTTGAAAAACATTAGTTAAGTAAAATATCTTTATTTTGAAAGTATGTACTTTATTTTTCTGCATAAGCACTGCATTAAGACACATTTTTATACTGCTAGATAAAATTAAAAATCAATCTTGCACTTCATGTACAAATTTTGATAAAAAGTAGAATACATCAATATGAACCATAAGGAAATATATATATCTTGTTTACTGTTTATCTTTCACTAATTTAATATGTTTCGCACAAAAGTATATCGTATAATATTCTGTTCTCATTTTGGTTTTCATTTCACTGCTTCCTGCTCAGTGTGTTGGCTTAGGGGGGTCAATAGAGGTACAATAAACATGTTGCATTAGCAAAGTTTAAAAAAAAAAAAACTCTCAGTTTTGTTTCCCGCAATAAGTAGATGGTTATTGCAAAAATATCACTGAACCAACATTCCCTATAATTTTTCTTTTAGCTGCATGTCATAATTTATGTTTTGCATAGGAAGTAAAATCACATGTGCATCTTCGTAAATATAAGTGCCTGAATATGCTTGTAAATAGTTAGAGGAAACGTTGCTCTGAATAACTGAAATTTTGAGCAAAATGGTCTTTGTAAGAAATATTGAGCCTTGAATATATTATAATATTTCTAACTATTTCTATAAGGAATCCTCAAGGCCACCAAGTATAAAACTTCTAATTACTTCTGACATGGGTCTTGAGGAAAGAATCCTCATTGGTGCCAATTTCTACTAAACTCCAAGATCTTCAAATATGTTTGGCAATTCAATGTGGAATTAGTGACAGATATGCATTACTGTGAATGTTCAGAACTTTTAACATCTCTTGTAACATTGTAGTCTGTATTCAACTATTGCTGTACTATTAAATTTCAGTTAATTCATCCTGTTTTACATTGCTTTCTGTGGCATGTTTTTGCTTTGTCTTTTGTGTCTCATCATTTCCTGCAATTAACATTTTTGGTAGAGCATTCTTATGTGAATATAATTCATACCAATGCTGTCTCCCTCAAAGCTTTCATGCAGGGTTTTGAGACATGAATTTATCTGTTTTAGTGAAATCTAGACTGTCTTTTTTTGTTTTATTAATGCAGTCAAATAATCAATTTGATTTTTGTAAGCAATGTGTTGTACATTTGTGATGCATGGGGATTTCGTAAAAAATAAATATACTGTAAAAAATATTTAAATTAGCATTTATACTATTATGCTAATCTTCAAGATATAAAGACTTTTCTTGTAGAATAAATATATGATGTAAATCATTATTTATATTATCATTCAATTTCTTAATTTTAAATGTATGAGAAGAATAGCTTACCATGTAAGAGGTAGATAAAAAGACAAGAATCGTTGTAAACATTCCAACCAACACATCTGGATTATGCATGGCACCAATACGGCCCATAATTGGAACAAATACTGTATATATTGACCACACACAATAAAACAACAATGATAAGGGTATGATTTGCATTATAAAGTGGGTAAACAAATGTGATTCACGGGTACCTGAAAAAAAAAGTAAAGCATGTTAATCCACATTTCTTTAGTTAAAAGTTCAAAGGTATTGTATTCTTTGCACTTAAAACTGAGGTATGAAAAATAGACTTTTTTTCCCCCAAGATACAGCTATACACTCAACTCCTGATTAATCGGGGAAGGCAGACTGAGTCCTATTTAGCAAAAAGTTATTTGCTTATTGCAGAATAATGGAAAAATTATTATCCTTATAAACCATCAGTAGAAAATACCCTCCCCAAAAGTCATGTGTGGGTTAACAGCAGTGATAACAGATGATATCTGCCAGATGAACTCTGCCAAAATATGAAGTTTGCTAACTAATTTTTTTCATGCAAGTTTGAACATATTGACCTTGTTCAAGTTCTCTTAAAAATATTGTTCTTTAATGGTACTTTTGTATTTGCCTAACCACTTTAATCGTAATAGCACATAAATGTTCACACACTCCAAACTCTGACAAATATACATGACACATCTTCCGTTTTAACAATCAAAATCATCATTTTTGAATGCATTCCTTTTCTTGTATTTTGAACTCCAACATTTAATGCAGACATATTAATTCATGTGAAACTCAGTTTTAAAATGTGCAGTTACGGAATTTGCCTGCAGTGGCAGTAACATTTCTGCAGAAACACATTAATCTTTCACAATATCACTAGAGAGAACAATTAATTTGTATAGTTTCTTAAGATGATCATCACAAAATTTCCACCAGAACAGAAAAGAAATGGAAACCTACTCATGAGCAAGGTTATTAACTGACTTTGGGAATAAGTAATTAAAATATAAAATATACTCATGTCTAATAAATATTTGTTTGCAATTTTCTTTATTTCTAATGATGCTTGGTGTTCTCTCATTTATTTATTTATTTATTTTTTCCCTTTTTTAAAAATGCTGATTTAATTTATATAACCAGATGAATTTGTTCTACAAATTTAATGTGCTTGATAATAAAGATAAATTGTTCATAGTATTTTCTGTTAATTATAATAAAGGTTACTAATTTTTTCTACATTTGTTAACAATTGTAACAGCAACGATGGTTTTAAGCTAACCACACACATTCTTTTTATATTATCCCCTTCAGGACGGGTATATCATGTAGGCATCAGCAGTTAATCTTCTTACGAGATGGCATGCTGCTTAGAGCAACTCACCTTGGAGATGGTGTGTTGTTGCAGTAGGCATCTTGCAAGGTGGGATACTTCATATCACTAAGTCTAACTTCTAAAAAAAATTCACTAAAAGTACTTTTTTTTTATCAGTTGTTTTGATTTTTTCTGTAATGGTATCTAACACTATTATATCATAAATACAGAATATCAAGAGATTCTGAAAAAATTTTAATTAAAATCTAAATGCAAAATAAAATATTTGACTCATCTTGATGAAATGTTGTAAAAAACTTACTTAAATCTCTATCTAAACATATGTAAATAATAATAAAATATATGATCAAATATTATAGCATAAATGATTCAGAAAGAAGACAGTGTGCGATAATCTAGTCGCTATCATTTCATTAGTTATGAAACACACTTTCAGGTCAAACTTTTTAATTATTCTATCCCAGCAGAATAATTAATCCTAGGAACCTCCTCATTTTAAACACATCTAGAGGAGTGTTATTTTGGATGATGAAGGATTTTCACTAATCTTTTGTTCATAGAAATTACTAGTTTTTTCAACTATTATGTTCATTACATTATATATATATATATAAAAGTGAAAAAAATCAATTTTATTTTCATAATTTTGTACTAAGTTTACTTCTGCAATTCCTGTAAATTCATAAGGCTTTAATTACTTAACTGATCGAGTTCATGATGAAGTACCCACTGTTCTGCTGGATTGTGAGGTGAAAGCAAAACAAACTTTCAATTCAGTCTTGGAGAAAATTTCGGCATTAAAATTGCTATTCTCACTTAAATCTAGAGTTTTTGGTGTCAAAATAGTCATTCATGGGGCTCGAATGGACACTCATGGGCTTTGCAATTCAAATATACTCTTCTTGTGTTAAAAATTCTTTCTCTTAGACATTTCACCATTAATTTAACTCTATTACTCGGTGCAAAAAAACTTATGTATGCTATGTAAAGAATATGCGAACTGAATACAAACTGGAGTTCCTAAAACCACAGCTCCACTCCCAATCTTCCCACAGGAAAAAAAAAGATTTGAAGCAACGGAAACTGTTCAATGTTTATATCATGTGAAGCAAACTGCACATCAGCTGGGTTTTGCTTACTTTATATGATCTGCTAATACATCTAAACGAATCACCAGAATCAGAAAGTACTTCATGGACACAAGGTCAACAATGTATATGTTCAAATACGCTAACTGTAGTGGACACGGAGTGCTAGCTAGTGATTTAAAAAAATTCTAAAAGAATGCGTATGTTTGGGAATGCACATATGCCACACCTGTCGGGAAGACAAATGCAAGGGGTGATACATCAGTGCATCACCCGGCTGCTAGCAACATGCCATTGTGAAGGGGTTAAACAGTTGTCTGTGCCACTATTATTCTTATATGGCATTTTGATTAACAGAGATCTAGATTTTATAAAGCAGGTTTAATACTTTTTATTTAATACATGACAAACTTTTTTTCAGTAAATGACAAACAAATAATCCATTTATTTTAATTATGAATACTCTAAAATAAAAAAATTAATTTTATGTTTGTAATTCATAATTTAATTTGATAAGATTATCATAGGTCTGATATTATTAGATTAAAACCTAGAACTTTATTGCTGCTATCAATAATGAAATAATTTCCTAACTGAGAAATAAAGTTTTCTTTTATTAATTTAGAGAATTTTTTGAATCACAAGCAGAACACAAACATTTTTGGATTTAATAAATGTGACTTATTAAAATGTTCAGGTTTGGCCTCTAAGGCTTACTTTTTCAAAAATCTTTATAACAAGTTACGTTCCTTTTGGATTCAACTTAAATTACTTTTCTGAAAATTTACTGGATTTATTTTTATTTTCATTTACATTTTTCATGTATTTTAATAATTACCATTTTTTCTCAAGTCTTTGGAAGTAGTATATTTATGTAATATACGTATTAAAACTTCAGTTCAAAGACATGACATGAATGATTTGATTATGAATGTAGCCTAAACTTGCATTAAAATTTTCGGTGAAACAGGACTATTCCCAGGATTCACAGTGAACATTGAAAAACAAACCTGTGTAGATCTCTCCTTAATTAGAACTGGCCGAAAAATGTAATGACGGAACATTTTTGGAAGCACTAAATGTAAGAACACTGAGATATAGAAGCATAGAAATGCTGATAGGATAGATACTTGATGCTTAGAGCATCTATCCATTTTGAAGAAGAAACAAACGAGCCGGGTTAAATTCCACATTTATTTTTAATTCGCATTTTGTGGCCACAATTCACTTGGCACTCCAACCATGCCCATTTCCAGGACAATTTTGATACTATTTCAATAGAAGCAAACATAGAAGATTGTTGCAGTGTCATAACAGGATGAAAGCATAAGCAAGAAGAGAGAGTGTTGCAGTACTTCACAGGAAGAAGGGAGGGAGTCAAAAAAAGGTTTTGTTTTACAAATTACTTTGATTGAGAAAGAGATATATGAATTAAGGGTTACGTAAGATCGCATGATAAATTTGAATGACACAGTTTAGACTTACAGCGCTATTTTTAGGACAGAGAGATGAAGTTTCCAAATGAAATAAAAAATAAAAGAGTTTATAGTGAATTCAATTTAGAAATTTGCTTTCATAATTTTGATCTTACATATATATATATAAATATATATATATATATATATATATATATATATATATACATATACATATATATATATACATATACATATATATATTATATAATAAGTAAAGACATAAAGTAAGAAATTTAGAACCAATTTTTCACACAGACCAAAAACTGAAATTCATAAGTAATAAATTTCATAAAATCCTATAAATGTAAAAAAGAATTCAATAAATGCTAAAACTAAAATACTTCAAACCAGTAATATCTTAATTCAAAAAATCAATGAAATTTAAAGAAGAAAAATATAAAAGAAGAGGAATTCAATCAACTTTAATGCCACTTCTTCAGGAGAAGAAACATTGAAATCAATTGAAATCTCTCTTCCATAAAAATTCTTGCTTTTTTGTATCGAGAATTAGCTGATGAGCCATTCCAATGTATTTTAATTATAATAGTTCAGCCAAAAATTCTGGCCCCTGCCCAAAGCAAGGAAAAAAAGAAAGTAAATTCAAATCAAAATTTTACCTTTAAACTCTATCCAAAGGATTGAAAACGTCAGTGAAATAATAAAATACTTTAGTGAAAAATTCAAATCAGAATTTTACCTTTAAATAAAGAGATCTTTATTACTTTGTGAAAAACTGGTTCTAAATTTCTTACTTTATGTCTTTCCTGATAATTTTTCAGCAACTTAAGTTGCATGAAAATACTAGGCATGATTATATTTTTTTTTAATTGTTTTGTAATTATATTTGTATGATGTATTTTGCTTGGGTAGTCTTAAATTACAAAAATAAAACACAATACTAATTACACTTAATGTTTATAAGTTAATACAAAACACATAAACATGAAAAAATATAATTCATAAAGCTTTTCATAATACGCATGATATTTAAATACATAAAGTTTATTAAATAACATACAGCATTAAGAATTTTATACAAAAAGACTCGTTTCTCTTGCCAGTGTTAATAATAATAATAATTTTTAAAATATTTCTCAAATGCAAAAAGCAATATAAATAGAAAATTAATTATAAATAATAATTAAATAATAATTAAATAAATACAAAAAAGGGGGAAGTTAAAAAAAAAGTAGATAGCAGCATTAAAAAATCTGTTTTACCTTTAAAACTTGTAAGGTTTAATAAATTGCCTAAAACACCACGAACTAAAGTAGGAAAGAGAACCCATGCACAGCAAATGAATGAGGAGTTAATTTTAGCCAGTTCTAAAACTATTAGTAGAAAAACCCAGACAAGTCGGGCAGCATCAAAATACACATCTTCTTGCAACCATTTTTCTCTTTGATTCTAAAAACAAAGCAAAATATCTATCACAGAAACAAAATTGGTAAAATGCGTGAAGATTTGTAGAATAAAAGCTATCAGTCATAACTTACATAAAAATGATACTCGTAAAAAGAACTTCAGGTAAATGATAAAAATTATTTGACATCTAAATTACAGAACTTACGAGGGTAAGTTGAAAAATAAGATTCCCCTGTCGACTGTGGTCAGAGTTGTGTATGAAAGTCAAAAAATAGAATGAGACATTAAAGATATGACATACCTTTATTTTTCCACATAGGTACCAAGTACATTGAGACATTTGTCATATCGCTTGATAAGCTTCAAAAAGCCCTCCAGGAAAAAATCACGGCTTTGCATATGGAAGAAGCGTTGAACGGCTTGTTTCACTTCAGTATTGCTTCCAAAGCGCCTTCCCCCGAGATTTTTCTTCAAAGCCAGAAACAGATGGAAGTCGCTTTGGTGCGAGATCAGGACTGTATGGCGGATGGTGTAAGTGCTCCCAACCAAAAGTTACAATATGGTTTTGCGTTGCCGTCGCCGAATGTGGTCTGGCATTGTCATCCAACAGCAGAACGCCAGATGTGAGAAGGCCAGGCCGCTTTTCCCGAATCGCCTCTTTCAATTTCGACAGGGTGTCACAGTAGCGCGTAGCATTGATGGTTTCAACCTCCAAAAAGTCCAGCAACAAAACTCCTTGGGCGTCCCAGAAAACTGTGAGGAGCACTTTACCTGCAGAGGGAGTTGTCTTGAACTTCTTTCGGACAGGTGATGACGGATGTTTCCACTCCATAGATGCGGCCTTCGATTCTGGCGTGAAATGGTGGACCCACATTTCGTCCCCCGTCACAATCCGAAACAGAAAAGTCATTGCCATCTTCATGGTAACGCACGAGATGTTCCAGGCTGACCCCCATGCGTTGTTCCTTGTGTATCGAGGTCAATTGTCGGGGCACCCATCATGCTGACACTTTTCTGTATCGAAGAATGTCATGGCTGATGTTTTGAGCTCACTCATGTGAGATTCCAAGTTCTTCCGCTACTTCATTGATGGTGAGACGCCAGTTCACTCTAATCATGTCATCCACCTTCCTGACATTTGCAAAAAAGAAAACTCTCGGGGGAAGGCGTTTTGGAAGCAATACTGAAGTGAAACAAGCCGTTCAACGCTTCTTCCATATGCAAAGCCCTGATTTTTTCTTGGAGGACTTTTTGAAGCTTATCAAGTGATATGACAAATGTCTCAACGTACTCGTACGAGAATAATAAAATAAAGGTATGTCATATCTTTAATGTCTCATTCTATTTTTTGACTTTCATACACAACTCTGACCACAGTCGACAGGGGAAACTTATTTTTCAACTTACCTACGTATAATGTAAAACGAATTTTAATACCATATAATAACTCAAACAAAATTTTAAAGACTAATGTACATAATTATAACAGAAATCATACTGCATTAACAATTTATACACTATTGCACCTTATATACATACTTATATACACTATTCACTTTATATACAAATATTTACTATTAATTCTAAAACTTTACCAATATTGAAAGGATTTTTGGCAAGGATTAAAATAACTATTGTATTAAATATGACTTAACAATAGTTATTTTATCCTAAAATAACTATTGTTAAGTCATATTTAATACAACTATTAAATATTATATGTTATCCTAATAATAATCTTAATTTGACCAGCATTTCTTCTGATTAGATTGAGTAATACAATCCACATGACAAACATATTCATTTTTGTAACACTGCTTTTTAAGAGCAAGGTATGTCAAAGACCATCAATTAATCCTTAATATCCCCCTCCCTATGTAAAACTTAATCCAGAATATCTTTACTTTTCAACTGATAATAATCAAAATCTGAACATTTCTTAGTTTTAAAATGAGCATGCAAGCTGAATTTTTGCAAAGAAAAAGTTTAACAGTTTTGAAAAGTTTATGAAAATATTTAGAAGGTACCCAAGCAGTGCACAGTCACATATAGTTTTAATCGTACAAATTTTTAAGTCACCCAATTCACACTCAGACATGAACAAATCTGTCAATTACCAGAGTGGATATTCCATATTTTGTCTTACTTACCATTACCTATGTATTCTTATACACAGATCATATAAACTGCATTGATAAATACTACTAATTAATTGATTTAATATGCATTACAATTTATATAGAACTTATGTTCATATCATTTCTACTGAATAATGAGAAATGGCAAATTCATCAAAGATTATCTTTCATAAGTATTTTAGTTTGTTTGTAAAAACAACTTATATACAATATGCATAACATATAAACAATATGCATGCAACGTATTAAGTATGAAAATAATGAAATGCATTAACCCCACTGCAACTTATTTTACCAACAATAATACTTTACAATTTTAATCAATGAAAAATATCCAGAAAACAATATCATCAAAAATATTCATTTACACTGACTTTTATAATTATAAATCCACTATTGATTCCTGTGATTCTTTTTAATGATTTAAAACTTAAGAAGATTTTGAATTATCATATGCATATACAATGTAAAACTGAATGTAACATGAAAGATAATATAGAAGCAAAACATGTAAATCTTAGTTTTCCCATGATAAAATGGAAGATTGGAAGCACAACAATTTGAATGAAATGAAATAATTTGAATGAAATTGATAAAATGGAAGCACAATAATTTGAATCGTAAAAATTAACGCAATGCACAAAAAAAGATAAGAAATTCAAAAGATTAAAAACAAAGAAAATCCCACAAGGAATAAAAGACTGAATTCTAGTTAATTAACACAATAATTGCAATATTTATGGAAAGGATATAACAATTACTATTATGAACATTTTATTATTCTCACGATGTCCAAAACTTAAATCACCATTCAGTTTCTAGATATAATTTCCCATAAAGAGCAACAGTTTTGTAACTGATATGCTACAGCTCATTGCACTGTCACGTTGAATGCATTATCATAAATAAAGTGAAATTTAAATAAATTAATTTATAACATACAGGTTAAACATGGGATAATCCAAACAATACAATAACTACAGTAAATTTTAAATATCCAAAGATATGTATTTTATATTACAGTTAATGCACATGATGCTCAAAGTGACTTATCTCATTGATATGTACATATATTCAAGTCATTAAGTTGTCAATAATTGTAAACACAAGTGCCTTTCCATATTGGGCACTTCTTGTAGCATGGAAAGGGAATTTCAAAATATTTTCTGTTACAATACTTTCTCCTGTCCTGATTTGAATCTGAAGAACCAACTACATGAATGATATGCATGATAAATAATTCTAAACAATGCATGCATAAGCCAAAGAGGAAACTGATCTTGATTTTAATGAGTGAAACTCAATCTGTCTCTTTTCTATTTTTTAGCTCTAAGTTTCAGCTGAGAAGAAACATTCCATATTATTACTTTTCAGCAACATATGCTGTTCTCTAATTAATCCATTATATCTTACAATTCAGATCCAGGTCTGGATGTCATTTTTCTAATTTTTGCTGCTTTATACAAGGTTAAATTATCAGCTTTCCCTTCAAGTAAAAGACACAATACTATGGTTTCAGTCAAAATCTTTCTAATGATCTATTTTGCATGTAAAAAATTCGATTATACATCTCACTAAAATCTATTATGGCTCTTGATTCATGTTGATTAAACTGAAATAATTTTCTCAGTCTATGAAATCAGCCATTTTGCACTTCTACAATAACAAAGTATAAAGAATGGGGCAAATAATGCCATACATGAACAAATCAATTATTTCACAAAAGGTGCCTAAATATTTCACTTTCAAAGATTTCTCTTCGGAAATTTTTATGGTATATATCATAAAATATTGAAAATTTGCACTTACTAGTAACATCTGTACAAACCTTTTGTTGCTTGGCTAATATCCAATGAACTAACAAAATCACTGCTACAGATGATGAGCCATATAAGCCAGCAATTAAATATGGTGAACGATACCATGACATAGTTGCTCCAAACAAATCCAGAAGAGCAGCAATTAATGTACAAGTGACACTTGCACAAACCAGGCTAATTAACATTACAATAACAGCTTTGAGAGTTAAAAAGAGCTTTGCTTTTAAAGGAAAACCTATGGGTTTAGAAAAAAGGAAATGCAAAAGAAACTTAAATTCAAAATTTACACAGAAGTTATAAATTTATGCATTTTTAATCAATATATTTTTTATACATTATATTAAAACTAATTTGTCATTTAAAATAAATTTTGAAGATCAGAAATGTTGTTTACACTGGACATACAACCCTTTATTTCTATATAATATGGAAACATTTTCAAAACAAAGTTCATTTGAAATCAAGTAAAGAAACTTATGCAGACATTCCAATTGATAGCAATTTAAAAAAAAAAAAAAAAAAACTTTATATATTAAATGATTTTAAGGAACTACTCTTTAACGCACCCTCAGGTCACCAAATTTCTCACCAAAACAACTCCACGGTGCCATATTACTATCTAAATTTTTTGTCTATATTTCGAACTTTAAACTTAAAATGTCTCCAAAAACGCGGTTTTCGCGCATGCAAGAACCATGCTTTAAACACACAATTTAAGCTAAAATTCCAAAACAAAAATAAAAAATTTAGATAGCAAAAATGTAAAGTTTCTAACCAAAAATATTTGACAAGAATCCAAGTACACAGCGATATGTTTTAACTTAAAAAAACATCTACGAATTGCACAATCTAGGCAGCGAAAGAATCTACGAACAGCGCACACCTCTCTTTAATAAATTAACATAACAATAAATTTCAAAGAATACCATGTACACAGCATTCTGTTAATACTTTAAAAAAATCTACGAATTGCACAATCTAGGCACTGCGCACAAATCAACAAAATAAACTAAAATAAATTACAATAATTCAAATAACAGAAATTCATAGCAAAAAAAAATAATGAACATAACATTTTACAAAATAAAATGCACTCACCATAATACATACATGAATAAAATTTCGCCAGTCACACAATGTCTGTCAACAAAAGTGCCACGATTTTGCTATATCACATGTCTTTCTGTGATTCAAAATTTTGAAAGTAACGATAAAAGCTTCCTCCAAAGTTAACTTACTACATGAAAACCACATTTCAAATCTTAAACTCCGCTGATAGCCACATACTTTACCAGCAAGCATTTGACTGCAAATTCACACAAGATCAGAAACGCCCTTCTTCGTCCGAGTTCTCATAGCAGCTCTGAATTTCGCACTCCGTTTTAAAAGTCCCACAGAAATTCCAAAAATACACTTCGATCCTCATAAACACACCTGTGAACAAGACTCATTAACAACTCCAACATCGTACCTTTTAATACTAAAATTACTTTCCACACAAACTAAAATACGCAACTGAAATCTTGCCACCCCCGTCTCTAAGTTTCAAACATCAAAAGGGTTGCCATACAAACAGCATCGTCCACCAAACCATCCCACAGCATGGAATCGAACCAAACACCAGCACGGAACACATATCGCCACATTTGGTTATCTTAGAGCGTATATAAGAGTAGAGCAGATTTTAAATTTATATTAAACAGATTTTGTAAATGTTAAATAATGATACATTGCAACAGTTGCTTTCCTTAAATGATTAAAAAAATTAATTTTCAATTTATTCTCTAAATATACACAATTTGTCAATGTTAGTTTTAAATATATTTATTTCTTTTATCAAAAAACACAACTAGAATTTTATATCTAATTTATTAAATACATAATTAATATTTTACATAAATACTTTTGCATGCAAGGGGGAGAATAAATGAAAAAATTTTATATTATGATTCTAAAATGAGTATGATATATTCAAACTAAGATACACATGTAAGAACAATTATATCTACCAATGAAACAAGTGAGTATTCTATACAATTTAAATTTCATTCACTTTAAAATTCAATTCAAAAGTGTAGTATCACCCGCTATTCTTTGAGACATAAGTTGGTTTTTATCGAAAGACATTTTTAAGAGAGAAAAAATTATTGAAGGGGAAAAAAAATTAAATAAATTTATTATTGTAATTAGTTCTACAAGAATCACAAAATACAGCACTTATCTGAAATTTAGACAATGAAGTCAAATAACTGTGTAAAAATTTTAAGCTCATGATGGTAAAGGCCTGATCACTGAACTCAAGCTTGCACATGGCTTAGAAAATTACAGACTTATCTTATTCAAATTAAAGGAAGTTTAACTTTTTCTCCTCCTTAATTTATGTTGTATAGATGAAGACTTATGGTGAGATATCAGTCTAAAAAATACTGTATTGTTGACAGAACTACAGGCATGTATTAATAATTTGGGTAGATTTATGATAAGACATTGATTTCAAATATGCAGTATTGTGACTTCAGTGCCATAGCTTAAATATTGTTACGAAATGTAAGGGCGCGGTGAGATGGCTTCCCCGCAAAGCAGGTTTTAGGGTTGCCATAAAATTGCAAGAAGGGCAGGGTTGCCACATTTGGCGATAAATCGCCCATTTGGCAACAAAATTGGCGATATACCATGGACAGTTGGAGAACCTTCTGGAACGAATTCTTACTGGTTTAGTACAGAATGTTCCCGAACACAAGCCAAAAGCTATATAAACCGTGCTGGTCTGCAGTTAGCAAGTGTGTTCATCGAAAAGAGAGTGTGTGTGCCTCGTCTAGCGAGTCAATCCCTGCGGAGTCGATCGAGTTGACAGCCGGGCGCCGAGTGGGTCGTCGAATCCACTGAAGGAGTCTGTTAGTGTATCGTGGTTAGTGCATCGTCGAGAGAGCGTGTTGAGCTCCGGGGAACGACTGAACCGAAGAGTCCGGAGCTGTGCTCTGTGTGACGTTGAGTGCATCGCGAGTTGTAGCGTGGAAAGTCTCGAGAGTACGTGGAGTTCCAAGAACGAACAGGCAGAGTTGGCTGCTTTGCAGGAAGCTGTCTCCACCGTGATAGCCTGATAACCTGAAGGCTGTGTCGCTGATCGTGTCAGCGTGTTTATAGTAGATCTTCAACGACTGTAAAACGTGTTTTGGAGCTGTCCTGACAATACTGTCAAATAAAATGTGTTTCATAAAGTAATATAATACTTCATAAAGTGTCGTTGTTATTCACTCCAAATCTACGAACCCCGTACGAACGTGAAGGAGAAAATAACGTAACAATTGGTGTCAGAAGAATAGGAAAAACGTAACAATATTAAGAAACTAAGTTAAAAACAGCTGTCTCTGGTGTAAAGGATTTTAGTGATACCTTTCTCGCATGGCAAGCGTAATATCATAAACTGAAAAGGACTTACTTTTCTTAATGTAAATGACATAATCGATTAAGATACAACTACTAAATCAGCAAAAGTAATCTCTACGTAAAAATAGTATTAATAGTGTACTTTAGTGGACTCCCAAAAAAAGATTTTATTAAACTATCCTGACTTCACATAAAACTGGGCTTCATTAAACTGTGTGGATAAAAAGAATGGGTTTTCTAACTTAAACAGATAAATTTTATGACAGGAGTATTGAATATATATTATATGCACTGAAAACAACAAAAACCACAAAATCTAAATTATTCTGCTACTATAAACATAATAGCAACAAAACTAATAGTATTCAGTCATACTTATTCAGACAATTATTTTACAGTATTATAAATACAAGTCTTAAATCAATTTTCAGTTATCTATGAAATTTCAACAACTTACCTAGAGATCTAGCTTTCACAATCATATCAATAAAGCAAAGTATAATAATGAGAACATTGACTACTGTTGCAACGCTGACACGATATACAACCATAAAAAATCCCATGAAATCAAAAAACACCAAGTTTAATTTTGTCTGATCTTCAACTCTTCTCATATCTGGAGAACTTAATGCATTATGTATCAAATTTAAAAGATTCAGACCTAAAAGTAAAAAAAAATTAAAATTAAAAAATACATTTATAAATCACAATTTTAATACATTTTTTTAAAGAAATACTCTTTACAAATAGAAACGTTAGCAGTAAAATTATCTGTAAATTTTAAAAAATTGTCAATTTTCTTAATGTTTGTTTTACACAATTAGTCTCAATTCATTATTTGATATGTTGTGCAAAATTTAACAATGCCAATATGCAAAAAATTTAGCCAATTTTCAAATACATACATTATTAAATGATATTCATTAATATAGATTAACTCTAAAAGAAAGAGACACTACTAAAGTTTTATAGAAACACAAGTATTAATAGCATGGCTGAAATACTTACGTGACAAAAGAATATACCCAGAAGTTTACATGGTTTAGATTAAAGATGCTTTATGTGTGAGCATTCTGAAACATGGTAGAGATATCAATGCAGCAAATCAAGTTCTACTCAAACACCTCTCTGCATGTCCATTAAAACTGTCATAGCAGCTATGATGATTCAATGTTTAATATCATCCAAATTTGTTGAAAGAAAGTGAACAAAAACTTGGTGCTTGGTAATATCTCCATAAAAATAAACCATATATTGCTAAATCTGGACTTCTCGGTAACCTACATGCCACAGCTATGTTCTGGTCTGTTGAATAAGCAATCCAACAATGATGCAGATTCTTACCCATACCATGTTCTAAAATGATGCAGTACAACAGAAATAAAATTTATTTTTGCAAATTCAAGACCACAAAAAACTCTACCTAATTAGCAGTCATATTGCTCTAATGAACCAAGAGCACTCTTATGATGAAAATAAAACAAAACAAAAGGGAAAGACTTATATATACAGCAGTATTAAATGCTTCTTGATAGGGGGAAAATATAATAATTTTCAATTTATAAGCATTTAATCATAATCTAAAATGATGCAATACAACAGCAACAAAATTTACTTTTGCATATTCAAAACAAAAAAAAAGTTTTTTCTGCCTAATTAGCAGTCGTATTGCTCTAATGACACAAAGAACATTCTCATGATAAAAATAAAACGAAACAAACATGAAACAAAATGAAACGAAAAGACTTCTCTACACAGCAGTAGTAAATGCTTATTGATAGAAAACAAATAATTTCAATTTATAAGCATTTAATAGTCTATTTTTTAAGCTAACTTTAAGATAAGAGTATCACTTTAATTCTAAATACATACATAAATTAAATTAAGAAACATATGCATTGAAAAAAATTAACAAACCTGCTTGCTGAATCGCACCAACTGTAATAGCCTCTGGAACATCAAACTTTGTATGATATACATAACCATTTTTCACATAAGCAAAATCTAAACCTAAAAAAAAAAAAAAAAAAAAAAAAAGAGAGAGAGAGAGAGATGTAACTATGTTTATTACATTATTTAATTGGCACAGTATTAACTATTTTAAAAACATAAAAATTTGCTATATATTGAACAACGTACTGCAAATATATTGAAAGCATTATAAAGGAAATATGCAGACATTTACTCCACACTGCTTGATTGTCACATTTTTTTAAAAAGAAGACCTTTTTTCTATTTCAAAGGCTATTTTCTTTTTATATCACATCATTGTTAAATGAAGAGATCATGCATTAATACATATACATATATATAAATAAAGTATGCAAAGAATGGAGTCTTAATATGAGCCTAGAATTCAGATAAAATTTTTCAACACAAGTCGAATTGTCATAAGTACCATTTAAAATGCTTTTGTAAAAAAAATGTTAGTGCTCATGTGTATAAAGAAGGTGATAAAAAAAGGATACCTGCATTAACCGTTTGACTGCTACGCGGTGCAAAACCGCTGTGTTCATTTGTCTCGAAAACCGTGATGCAGTTAGTTATTTTAGAATGCACTCGTGTTACAAAGTATGCATGAGGTCAGACTACGTACGTTCACACCCATGGAGCAACAAAGACACTCTGAAACTCGCAGCGCATTTTCGAGACAAATGAACGCAGTGCTTTTGCGCCGCATAGCAGTCAAACGGTTAAACTAAAATGGTTTATTTTTTACATCAGGATAATCTAATAAACAACAGTTGCCAAAAAAAAACTTAAGTTTTTTCTGTTGCTGAATGATTTATACTGAAGATGACAAGCACAAATAACAAGTGAAAAATAATTTGAATTTTTACAAATTGCATCAGGTACACTTTTAGAAAAATTTAATTACTTTAACACTGTAAATCAGTGTATATCAATGCAATTAAATTTCCAAAGATTGTTATTGTTATTTAACAAAGATTCAACTAGCATATTCATAACATTCTTTGTAAACAATATATATTTGTATTTGAAAATTCAAAACAAATATCACTCCTTAAAAACTATTCCCTTTATTTAACATTAACGGATTTTTAAAAAAAATCAGTCTTACCATTTTAAAACACAATTTGATCAGAACTATTTGAAAATAAAATATAAAAATATGTGGTACTTAACCTATTATTGCAACCACCTTTGGTGCAATTTGGTGAATTTTACAGAAAAAAAAAAAAAAAAGAGCAATTACATTTATTGTAAAAAACTGTATATTACATGCATACATATTTTGCGTCTCAACTATCTATTTATTCCAAACCGTCAATAAGTTTAGTTACAAATGGGTTTCAATTACGTTTATTGTAACAAACTGTATATTACATGCATACATATTTTGTGTCTCCTATCTATTTATTCCAAACATTCAATAAATTTAGTTACAAATGGGTTTCTGTTTTTGTTGTGGTGGAAGTTTCATAGAGATTGCTTTGAGAAAGGATTAAAAACATTATTTCTTTAGAAATTTTTTGGCAAAATGCTGTTTTCCTGCAGAAGTTTTGCCTCTATTTCTTTTACCATAGGAAAATCCCATAAGCACCAATTTTAAAATCGAGTTTAAGGCAAAAAATAATCATAATTTTTCTATAAAAGCCATTGGAATTTGGAGTACAATAAAAAGAATGAATACACATTTTGGAAAATGGTGACATTGAAAAATGAATAATTGTCATGCACATGGTGGTATGAATTGCTATTATGCACCTAGTCACCAGAGTTTGGCATATTTTGAAATTTTGACAACTTCAACTAAGGTGGCTGCAATAATACATAAGTACCAATTATTTATATATGAAATGAATAAATACCTGGTATACCACCAAAATGATCAAATATCCTATAATCAGTATCTGATGGAATTAAACCATTTTGGAAAATGTCCTGAGCAACAACTGAGCCTTGTGGAAAAGGAGATCCACTAGCATATGCTTGTAATAACCAAGTTCTTTCTCTATCTGAAAGCCATATATTAAAAATTTTGTAGTTAAAATATTTTCAGCATACATTTTCATTAAAACCACTTCACAGTTATATTTACTTACAGAACTATTTTAACTATTATTAATTATACACACAAAACTAATTTTCATAGCATATATAAAAAAAAATTATAATATGCAATTACTAATATTAGATATAGCTTAGAATAAACGGTTAGAGTAGACTTTAAGGTACCCCTTGTATTATGGTAGCCTGAATAGTTGAATGTTATGGAAACCCCTATTGTGACATAATCAGGTGCACGATTCTGGGGGAAATTTTGAATCATGGAATGTTTTGTAAGTGCTTTTGTGGTGTGTGTTGGTTTTATTGTTTAGACGGTAGAATGGCTGAATGTAGTAAGATTAATTTAAAGTTTCTGTACAATTTGGAACGAAAGGGGAAAAGAGCGATAATTGACTGATGTGTAAGGTGAACTTAGGATGAATGCTAAGTGAAGGTTTACTTAGTAGCCATTATAAGGTCCAGTATGTAAGAAGGATATAGGCCTAGTTGAACGCAAAAACCATTTAGATGGATTTGAATGGGTTTGTAGAGAGAAAGGTTCGGATGTGGCGATGCCGATATATGGATTTAGAGTTCAAATAATTTTAGGAAGTTTTTGGATGCTGTGAAGGAATTTTGTGTGCGACAGATTAAAGATGAAGGAACTTCTAAATAGGATAAGTGGGCATTTGCTTTTTGTAGTACTTAAATGTAGAACATGTTTTTCCTTTTTTATGTTATTTTATTGTTTGGGTTTAAAATGTAGTTTATTGAGATTATGTATTTTTTGTTTGCCTGTATTGTAAAATTGGGTGCTCCTTTGACTTTTTAAGTGAAAATCTATCGTTATGGACAAAATGAAGGGAGTGCGCAATGCCATTTTTGTGCAATTCAGGGATTCTTTTTTTTTTTTTAAAGTGAAAATAGGTCGGTGTGTACATGGATGCCGAGTTTGTGTTATTCTTTGTTATTTTGGCTTCATGTAGCGGTGATTTTTGGCACAAAAATCGCTGTTATGTAAGCTCAAAGAATTGCACAAACTCTGTATCCATGTACTGCCAAAAATTGCCAAGGGGTACCCTAAAATATACTTTTACCAAATAAACCTTTAGGATAGTCTACAAATTATTAAAAATAGTTTTTATATCCATAAGTGGTTATTCAGTTTAGATAAATAACAACTAAATTTAATATTAATTCAGAACAGAATTCACTTTCATGAATAACTGAATTTAATTTTCACATATTTTTCACCATTTAATTTACTTAGGAAGAAACTGGCAAATTCCATTTCAAGAAGCAATTGTTTTGCATTCAAAACATATTAAAGGTTTTATCTTTAAAATAAAGCTATATTTGCTTACATAAATTTCTTCAAGAATTATGACAAAGAATAATAATTCTTAAAACAATTTTCTCTTGGTACTTATCATACTCTAGACCAGTGATCTTCAAACTGGGTTCTGAGAATCAATTCTGCAAGTCAAACAAAAATTTGACATATGTCAAAAAGAATGACAGGCAATGTTTTGCAAAATTAAACAGTTTTCTAATGGCACATTAATCACATTTAGATAACAGCGCTAAAAATTATATAATGCAGCAGCATTTTCAAATGATGACAGAATATTTCTCATAAGAGAAAACAAAGTATGGCTGGATAAAATATCTATTCAAGTCAGGTTTTGCCAGCAAAGGAAAGAGGACAACTTATCAACATATTGCCAGATTCTACCTTAAAATCTAGTTTCAGCAAGAGCAGCTCTTAATTTATTATGCAGAATAACCATAAACATTTCAATGCCATTCAGAACAATGTATTCAAATGAAAAAATTTTAGGTGGCAACAAAAACAAAATATAGAAACAAATTAAATGCATAATATGAAATGTGACTGCAAATAACATCAATAGAGCCAAACAACATCAGCATAGCTAGACCTTGACAGTTTGTGTAAAAAAGTGCAGGCATACCCCTGTCAATGAATATAATGCAAGGGTAGGGGGACACCTGGAGCACAAGTTAATGTTATTAATGAATAAATAACAATAACTTCATGTTAAATTTTTTAATAATACAATAAAGTTCTTTAATTACCTTCATATAAAATACCTATAACATATTTATCTACTCTATTACTTTATGATACATTTTTCTAAAGGTTGAATGGAATTCCCAGCATAAACCTTACAGTTCTAAGGGTTCTGTGAGTCAACTAAGTTTGAAGACCACTTGCCTTCCACACATAATTAATACACAATTTTATTTGATATCTATCCTGTTTATAAACATAAAAGAAGAAAAGGTTATAAAATGTTATATGCTTAAACATGTATTACACATAATCACTTAAGTATCATTATTAGACGAGAATATTATTAAATTAAAAGTATTACAATTAATACAATTTGTTAACAAAATGATTGTTTTCATCTACAGATATAAATTAAGAAAAAAGATGTAACAGAAAAATTTTACCTGCTTGAAATAACATCTGTTTACCACCAGCTCCACATGCTTCCATGTTAACAAAACCAACAGCTGTCTTAGCCCAGGGATGCCGAGTTATAAAACCATGAGCAGCCTAAAAACAGAACCCTTTTTAATTTTCTTACAGTCTATAATTTGAAATATAAAATTTTAATATAAAAATTAATTTCAAATTATTAAAGAAATGTCTTTCCAGGCCACATAAATATCTTTCTTAACAGCAAAATTTTCTTATTTTATAAATATTTTTGAGTTTTTAATTTTGTCTTTATTCTTACATTAAATACTTTTCTCATGAATATCACAAACATTATTATGTCATATTCTAAATAAGCAATAATAGTCCCACCTATGAAAGAATAAAGTAATATTTGATAAAGAGTCATCATAGACAATGAAAGTCTGTGATAGAGTGGTGGTAATGCAGCTATTTAAAAAAACATTCTTATATTTGAAATCCAAACAAGCAAATTCAATACCACTAATTCTTTTAAAGTTATTTTGTTTTTTAAAATTATATTTGAAAAAAATTTTAAGTAGATGTTTCAAAATAATTTTAGAAAATGGGGAAAGGTTGCTATTTTATGCCCATTTGATCAAATAATTCTTAAGAGTTTTTCTGATAATATTATGTTTATTATATATATCGAAAAGTTAAAATTTTTATTAAAAATACATAACCGGAAATTTATGGTGAAAAATATCAGATACTGCAACAACAAAAATGAGCCAACAAAATTTATTCTTCAATGTATCACTGAACACTTCCTATAGTTATTGTTGCAGTAAAAAAAAAAAAAAAAAAAAAAAAAAAAGAAAGATGCCTGAAGAGATTTTAGATTGTGACAAGACTGGTACTTAACATTCAAATTGAAACGGTGTTTTTTGGTCATGCACCTGTCATGCTTTTCAGCACCTATAAAAGAAAAACCAAACACACTCCAAGACCCTGTGTGTATGTGTATCTATAAGCTATTCTTATAACTAGAAATTGTTTATAGCTGAAAGATCCCCCAAAATGCATGGCAGGTGAATAGCAGAAAAGTACCATTGAAACATTTCATGTTTTCATGACAAATATGTCCTACAAATAAACTGGTAGAAAAGAAAGAAATAAGAAAACCAAGACTTTCATTTCTTTTGTGTTATAATATTTCTAATAAATATTTTTTTACACAAAAAAAAAAAAAAAAAAACATGAACAGTTAAGATACTAAAGTTGTAAAACACTGATTTTCACTCCAGATTCTATTTCCAGTAGTTGAATGAATTAGTTAGCATTTTCCCATAAGCATCATCACCTCAGAAAATAATCAAGATGGTTTTGTCAAATAGTTTGTTTGGAGCCATTGTTTAATATTTTTGAAAAATCTTTAAAGTTACATTCTGTGATATTTTTTTAATTGATAACTCCATTCAATAACATCCAATGATAACTACATTCAATATGTTATAATTCCATAATATTCCCTAGGTGGTGCTGCTAATGGGACGTATCAACTAGAATGTATGAAATGTTTGTATTTGCTTATTTGTAACAAATACTGGCCAGTTTCTCAAAAATATAATTAGCTATGTAGAATGCTTTTTAGGAAGCTATTTTTCCTTTAAGACAAATAGTCCTAAGCCACTTTTATGTATATAAAATAATACTTTAAATTTTATTGTCAAACAAAATCAAAGATAAAATAAGAAATAATACAAATGAAAGTATGTGTGGGGAGGGGTCATTCTAGATAGGGTCATAGAAGAGTCCTGTATAGTGTAACAAGTATTTATTTACAGGTTTAAGTTACATACGGACATTACATTTAACATTAAAAAAATTACAGAGCAAGAGTCTGGTACAACCTATCAAGAAGGACACTTGGCTTTTACTGAAGTACTTCTCTGGCTACTCACCAGAGGGCAGCCTTGTCACAGTTAGTCCAACAGTTTATGTTAAGGGATTGGTTACAAACTCCCCCTCTGGCTCCGCCAATAACTCGGCAAGGAGACAGAACTGGAGGATTTGGGAGCTCTTGTAACATTGTCTCTAGTCTCAGTTTTTTTTTTTTTTTTTTTTTTTTTTTTTTTTTTTTTTTTTGTTTCTTGGGCAAAGGGCACTTTGAAGCACTGCTTGGAACCACAAGTTCTTGATTATTTCGGGAATGCAAAGTAACTTTTGGTGGTCTACCTCTCTTCCTGAGTGGAAGATTTTAAAGATGTTAGTGCAGATGTATGGTACGTTCCTAACGGTTCTGATGATTTATGAAGGCTTGAAATGACACAGGAAGTAGGTGATTTCTGTGTCATTACCAAGTATGGACCGTCACACTTTGGTAGGAACTTTGAAGTCGTTTTGTCTTTTGCATTGCTAGCGGGATGTAAATTGACCCATACTTTATAACCTGGTGAATAAAACACTTGTCGCCTTCCTTTATCATATTGCTTTTTATGTTGATCTTGCTTTATTTCGATACGCTCTTGTATGTGCTTTGTAATAGTTGCGAATCGTTTAAGATAAGGGGTGATTTCAGGAATGAAATCGGGAACAACGTTGTTGACAGTCCTAAGCTCTTTTCCAAACATTAGGAATGGTGTATCACCTATAGTGTCACAGACGGCCGTATTCATAGTGAAGTGAATAACTGGGAGTTTCGAATGCCAGTTGTCATGCGCATCTCCTACTAGGATTGCAAGACGAGGTACTCTATTTTTCCGTCCCACAGGATTTGATTGAGGAAAGTAAACTGGTATTATGTTTTGATTGATATTTTAATGCGCAGCAAACTTGTTGCATGACTGCATTGATAAACTGGGTTCCATTATCGCTGATGATTCTTCGTGGTATACCACGAAGTTTAAAGAATTTTGGAATTAAAGTTTGTAATTAACTTTATTTGTAACTTAGGGATATCCGTATCAGTGGGTTTCAAAGCAGGCACGGAATCATGACTAGCACCTGAACTAGCTACTTGTACTTTCAATTTCTTAAGCTCATGCTTGCGTTGTTCTATCTCTTTCCTTTCATTATATTCATGTTTCTCATGCTGTTTTCTTTCGTTAAATTCACGTTCCTCTATTTCTTTTCATTCTGCAATAATGCTAAAAAATATATCTTTAGTGAACTCTTCATTATATCCCTTACTCGTTAAAATGGCATCCTTAATATCAAGCATTGTTATTTGTTCCGTAACATTCACACCAAGTTCTTTTGCTAGAACACACATATCTTGTTTACAAAGCAAAAAACAACATGATGACACGTTTCACTTAAAATAAATTCTTCGATGAAAAAAAAAACACTTTATTATGGCACTAACTAGAAGGTTGTAATGAGGTACCCAGAAATGATTTGTAGTAATTTTACTATAGAATAACACTATACTAAAGTTAATTGTATCAAAAGTAACTCAGTGTCAAAATAATATATAAAAAAAAGACTCGACTCCCTTCCTTAAAAGAAAACATTTTACAGGGTTTAGAAATAGCACAGTTTAAATAACATTGATAAAATCCTTTTCCGTTAATTATTTCTATTCTCAAAGAACAAAATAAAACATTCATGGATAGCAATGCACTTATGAAACTAAAAGAATTACACACATCTGAAACATATATCAATCAGTATAAAAAAATAACATTTTGCCGGAAAGAATCTTGCGCTTCTTTAAATCATCAAATATAAACAATTTTCAGCAATGTAAACGGAAATGCAAGAAAAAAATATCAATAAATAAAACCGTTATGAAGGCACCAGGGTAATAAACATGTCATTGAGCCACTGGTTCGTCAAGTTTAGCTCAATCGAAACTACGTTTATAAGATTGAATACATTCAGCATATTATAACAATAACAATTTCTAATGCAGAATTTTACTCTTAAAATGCCTCGCTTTGAATATATTATACCTTTTTATGTTTTACCATATTTACCATTTTGAAACAAAACTGAATAGTATTATAATTATGCAGTTCTTGAGCACTCATTATGGGTAAACAAAATGAAAGAATTTCTTAATTACTTCAAGATGATACAATATTCATAAAAGATGTACATATATACTTTAAGTATTTTTTACAGTAAAGTATTTTTACGTTTTCATATTTAAGCATTTTCACGTTTTCAACATTAAGCGTTACCACATTATAGAACATTAGTGTTTAAATGCAAAACAAATTATACCATTGACAACAACTATTTGTTGCTGTTTTACTTCAATGACACTTTGCAGTGGCACACACAAAAAAAAAAAAAAAAAAAAAAATTCATACCTGATGGGCGAGGTATTTCATTTTCTAAAGTTTTAGGAGTTGGATCCAGCAGGTGCGGATGCAAGTACTATTTCTGAAAAAGAAAGTGAGCAAAAGCCAAGGAAAATTCTTAAAGCTAAACATTAACGTTGGGTGTCACTTTGTGTGTGGGTCATTTTAGATAGGGTCATAGAAGAGTCCTGTATAGTGTAAAAAGTATTTTTTAACAGGTTTAAGTTGCACATGGACATTATATTTAACATTAAGAAAATTAAAGAGCAAAAGTCTGGGACAACCTATCAAGTGGGAAACTTGGCTTTTACTGAAGTACTTTTCTGGCTACTCACCAGAGGGCAGCCTTGTTGTCACAGTCCAACAGTTTATGTTTTTATTGTACAAGTACAAATTGACAATACTTTCTATCAGGATTGAAATTAAAAACCTTTAGATTTGATTTGCTCTCACAAATCACCAAGCCATCAGAGCCAAGCAACAACAGAAGAAACTCTTATATTTTGCATATTTAAGATTTTAGACTTGGTTAAGTTTTTCTAAGTAATTTCTGAGGAGGTAGGAGCTAGCAATACATTCCTTTTAATAATATGCAATTTTATATGAATCTACAACAGCTGCACTGTTAAACTCAGCAAAATTTGTGTAACTGAAGTTACATGCTCTCCTTGCAAAGCCCAAACTATACAACAAACTATATTTCATTCTATAAATTACCTAATTTTAAATAAGATTCAAATATTCGTATTTACGCTCATTAATAATATTGGTACTGTCTGGTCATTTCAACTCTCAGTTAAAAGTATTCATAAGGAAAAGCATTATGTCAGAAAAAAGTTATGTGATAACCTATGAAATCATGAAAAGTATTTATGTGGCAAACCAGATATGCACGTAGCACATCTGTTTTGGCCGGTATACAATGCCAAAGTTCAAGATGTCGAGTTTTTTGGCTTTTCTAATTTTATTAACTGAATTTTTTATGGAATACAAGTTATGGTTATTAAATTACACTGTTATTTTTAAAATAACTGTTGCCTTTTGAAGATTAGCTTGGTGGAAAATTAGTTGTCGGCGACAAGTTTGCAAATGTTCTCCAAAGTCACCGAGTTCATTTTTACATGGAGGTATGGATAATCACAAAGTATCATAATATTCGTATTTACTAGGTGTAAGAAATGATAGAATTCACAGCTAATGAATGACTAACCTGTAAAATGTTTTCTTCAGCTCCATTGAACAGAAATATCACTTCATTTACAAGAGGTTCATCATGCTGAGAGAGTGACAGCAGTACTTCTAGCATAATAGCACAACTCACAACATTATCACTTGATCCTGTAACATATCACTTTCTGTAAAAATTTAACATAAATATTCTTATTATTTTACAACTGTAAATAACCAACTTTTTTATTTTTAAATATAAAACAAAGTATTTTTCCTTAATGAGGAACTTATTTTTCCTTAATCTTCCACAATTATATTTCACTTTGCAATTTATTACTGATAAATTAAAAAGAACTTGGTTCTTCAAAAGTTATTTCCAATGGAAAAGTGATAATGATACTTTCAATTCACCATTAACAAAATTTTATTTAATTTTTTTATAAATTATATTTATTATATTTATTTAATTTTAATTTTATTTCATTTTTTAACAATTTTACAAAATGAAAATATGAAATTTTCATAATAAAATGCAGTTTTAAAAAAAAGAGTATTTCATTATATTTACCATAAACCTTTTACTAATATAGTAAAAACAAAAAATTCCAACCAATTCAACTACTTTATTTTCCAGTGAGATAAGGAAAAAGACTATGACAAATACATTCAAACAAAAGAAATGTATCCATTAACTACAAAATTAGGGTGGGACCTTAGATTGACTCGAATTCTGTACATCAGTTCATTCAATTTAAAAGAAGTCAGGCAAAAGTCATCACTCTTCTTAAAATATTTAACTTATACTAGATAGAACAGCTAGTTTGAGGCAAAAGTCATAATTTTTTTTTAAATATTTAGCTTATACTAGATAGAATAGCTAGTTTCTCTTTTAATATTTTGATTTTTGCCTAACTTTACACATGACAAATAATTAATTATATATTAAGTTAATAATATTAATAATTACCTGGACTAGTTGGTACTGAATCATAATGGCAATTTATCACTATACTTTTATTGGTGGCTTTAAAGGGCCCTATCTTAGCGACAATATTTTTTACGTCGTGGTAACAAGATACCATTCCATCTTTAAAGGTCAATGGAAAACAACCACTAGGTTTCTGTATATCAATTTCGATTCGGTTCGCAGGCTTAGTATGACTTTTAATATAATTTAGTTGCCTGGTTATATAATCTACAGCTACAACTTCATTTTCGTAACTTCCTGTAGGTTTCGGACCTATACTACTAAGTTCAATAACGAAATTTTTAGCTCTTTCCTCACTAAATTGCAGACTTCTTGAATTTCCAGAAGTTTTAAGCTGTTCTACTGATACAGGAAATGGAAACCTAATAACATCACAATACAATACCCCTAAAAATACTGAAAAATAGACAATAAAAATTAAAATCCATGCCCGGTTACTGATCAGCGGTGGACATCTCTTTTTACCAAAATCATCATCACTAAAAATGGAAGCCTCAGATGATAATTCAGCATCCAAAACAGGTCTAGTACGCTGCCTCACGTTATTTTCCATTGTTGGATTTAAAAGTGAACATCACACTAACAAGGAAACGAATAATACCGCCTGGAAATCACAGCAACAAACGCTAGATACGGTTACGAGTCAAATGAACCTTTAAATGTCAAATAGAGGTGATTTAAGAAGAGATAATGGTTATAAAAATAGATTAACCATGAGACAAAAATTGGTCTTCTAGGGGGCATAAACAAAACAAAGGTTAATCATGAAAATGCAAGGATGGACAGAAAAAGTTTTAAAATGTTAAACATGCCTCAATTTAGTGTTATTATTTACTGAGAACCTATAGAAGTGGAGTGTATTTCTCCCGGATTATGTGTTTCTCCAATGAAGTTGCCATGCACAGCAAATTTTAGCATTTAACTTTTTACATTCCATGGCGCAGTTTAACGCTTTAACACCATAGCCCTATTATGATTGTATAAATCCGGAAGCAAAGCATCCTTTCAGCGACTTCTAGTGCTTATATTCTTTGCATTCAATAATAATGATCAGTTATAAGAGGATCTACGGCCGTGTTCTGGTCGATCTGCTGCTCTACGAAAAGAATACGGGAGTAACGTAGAAAGTGACTCGTTAATATTCGCAAGAGCCCATTTCGACTTATCGTTAGGCTTTCACCGAGAGAAAAAGATAAAAGTTTCTCCTCTGCAACCCACAGTTTGAATTCAAATGATAATACAGAAACTAATGAGAATGCTTCTTCAAAACTATAGTAATTTAAACTTTCTGAAAATATTCTAGTCAGTAAAGATTGTATCTGCTTTCTGATGCATCTTTTTTTTTTTTCTTTTTTTTTTTTTTTTTTTTTTCGTAAATTAATAAATTAATGGCACAAAAAATTTAGGAACAACTGGGACGTCTACTTAAATTATGACGTCTAGATCCATTAAAAGTTCCTGAACAAAGGATGGGCCAACTCCGCCCCGCCGGAAGGTTCTATCCAGCCTGCAGATAGAATTTTAATTTGCCAGTCAGAGGCAAATTAAAAGAAATATATATTTATATATTATACATCCGTCTCCTTTTCTACTTTGTTGAAATATTATTTTTTTCTTCCTTTTCCCAAAGAACTGATGATCTTTGTACTTTCTCTATTTGCGTTCTACAAAATTGACGGAAATAGCAAGCACAGACAGCTTTCATTCGGTAAAGTATTAAAAGCGGAAGTTCTTCGTTAATTATAGCTGTAGATTGGCGCCAACAAGGGTTATTTCTTTCTCGGGGAGCAAACATATGGGATTCCAATATAGGTGAATAAGACCTCTAAGAAAAAATTTAGTCTTAACTTAAAACAAAACAAACATCTTAATCTTAACTAATGAACTTAACTTAAAACTTAATCTGTTTGCTGGGCAGCTAGCTAAGAACGACTTGTCTCATTTCCAGAGGTTAAATTCAATACCCTCAGTAAACGAAGAGAAGATTAAGAATTATGAAGATGGCTCGCAAAAACCGCATTTTGAGTTTGAACGCAGATTTCAAGATTTCTGTTCCATTCAAACAGAATTGGATATTTTACCATGCCTTTCAACGTAACTGTGAAGCAGCAAGGTCAGCTTTGCAGGTTGAATTAATTAAGTTGCAATCTAACAATCATATCAAGCAGTTGTTTCTAAATATGTCAAAGTTAGAGTTCTATAAATCATTATCTAAAGTAAGTTTCCCAAATTTAATATATCACGCCCAGAAAATCAGTGCTATGTTTGCTTCTTCTTATATATGTGAACAAGTGTTTTCCACTATGAACCTTAGAAAGAATTATATCAGAAGTAGAGTGACAGATGAGAATTTATCCTCGTTTCTTAGAATCAGTACATCTCACTTCGAACCTCAAGTCATAAGGAACATTCACCAAAATGAACTAGCTCGCACCGGATTTCATTTATCTCATTAACATATTTATATTTCTCAATACTTGTATATTGTTTTTAAAATTTAGGGTAGAAAAAGATATGCCATTTTCGCACGAATTCAACACAGGATGAGTTTTCAAAACCCGGGTGCCTGCATACAAGTGTTTTCTAACACCTGAGTCTTCGAACCAAGGAGGTTAGGAACCAAGGAGGAGATTCATGAGATGGCGCCACGTGTAAAATCCAGTTCTTAATCGGAGCAGCAAAGCGACGTCATTACTCACTCAGACTTCTCGTGAGACAACTATACGCGACGGTACCATGAACTGTGTTCCGTGCTCTGCGTTGATCTCTGTAATGTAATTTAAATTGTAATTTAGTACTTAAAATATTATTTGTCTGTGTAATTGCTGACCCTGTCTTATTTGTGTGTGTATCGTTACGTAAATTTTTTCTGCATGGTTAAAATATTTATTGTTATCATGGTAAAATATCAATAGTGTATCCTCATGCTACAATATTTGTGCTGTTAAATGTTTATTAATTAAAGTGAAAATTATCTATCAGTATGCCCGACGATATTCTACCAGAGCCACAAATCACACGCGTTGCGGTGAAGCCACCGCCTTTCTGGAAAAATAATCCTTCATTGTGGTTCGCTCAGATCGAAGCAACAATTTTCTATCGCTCGCATTAGTGAGGATTCTACAAAATTCAACCATGAGTTGCAGCAATTGAGTCTGATATTCTGAATTCAGTGCATGACTTAATTCTCAAACCACCTGATTGTGATAATACTCCAAACTGAAACAGCGGCTCATTGAAATCTATTCAGAATGTGAATCTTCAAAAATACGTACTTTACTACAAGGACTTGAACTTGGAGATCAGCGACCTTCATACTTGCTGTCACGAATGCGTGATCTGGCAGGAAGCCATTTTAGTGACGACTTGTTGAAGTCACTTTGGCTTTCGCGTCTTCCTAATAACATACAAGTAATTCTTGCTGCTTCCAATGAAGATCTAACCCGTTTAGCAGCAATGGCTGACAAAATTAATAAACTTGTTACTCCAGCTTATGTTAGTGCTGCTAATGCTGCACCTTCCAGTTCATCCCTCGAACAACAAGTGGCTGAATTGACCAAAAAAGTATCTTAACTCTCTACAAGTCTTCATGCTTCACGGAGATACAATCGATCAAATCAGGGCCCACGTAATAAATTTCGTGGTCGAAGCAGGAGTCCGATCTCGTCACAATACTCGAACGCAGTACAAAGAACCCACAAGTGGCATATGTTTTTATCATATGAATTTTTGGCGCTCAAGCTCGCAAGTGTGCCCCTCCATGCACTTTTGAACAAGCGGGAAACTAAATGGGCGGTCTTCTGCTGGCCAACAGAATGTCCGCCACCATCGACAGAATAGTACTGGCTGATCGTTCAACTCAGTTATGTTTTCTAGTAGATACTGGAGCTGACATATCAGTGCTCCCGAGAACTAAAACAAATGCTCACCAACTTAATAAACTTGTACTGTATGCAGCCTATGGTACCCAAATTGCAACCTACGGCACCAAACTATTGACACTTGATTTAAACTTGCGCCGGACTTTCAACTTCACCAGCCTTTTATTATTGCGGATGTAACTCAAGCAATTATTGGTGTCGACTTCTTGACACATTTCCACCTTCTAGTGGATGTCAAGAATAATTGCTTAATTGATGCTACAACTCAGCTGACATCACAGGGCCAAGCTTCTCACATATCGAACGTATCTACCAACATAAGTGTTGTATCGGGCAGCACACGGTTTCATCGGTTATTAGCAGAATTCCCTGACATTTTAAACCCATCCAAATCAGGCAGCATACTCATCAGCCAGAAGTGTATCATCACATTGAAACACATGGCCCCACCTGTATTTTCCAAGCCTCGTCGTCTTTCTCCAGAGATGCTAAAAGCTGCTCGCAAAGAATTTGAATTCATGCTAGCACAGGGAACCATTCGCCCATCTAAAAGTCCATGGGCCAGTCCACTTCACATGGTTAAAAAGTCTAATGGTGACTGGCGGCCTTGTGGAGATTATCGTCGACTTAATGCCGTCACAGTCCCTGACAGATATCCAGTCCCACATATCCAAGACTGTACCCATCTTTTTCATGGAACAAACATATTTTCTACCCTCGATCTTGCCAGAGCATATCATCAGATCCCAGTGCATGCTGAAGATGTGCCCAAGACCGCAGTGACTACACCATTTGGATCTCTTTGAGTACTTATATATGCCATTTGCCTTCGCAATGCTGGCCAAACTTTCAGCGTTTCATACACCAAGTACTGTCTGGCCTCGATTTCTGCATCCCATATTTTGATGATATCCTGGTTGCATCTACAGATGCGGAAGAACATTTTCAACATCTGCGTCAGATTTTTCACTCGCCTTAAAGATCATGGATTAAAACTAAAACTAAATCCATCCAAATGTGTACTTGGTCAGCCCTCAGTTTCCTTTCTCTTGGATGTCTTATCACCCAGAATGGAGTCAAAAAAACCTTTACCTGAAAGAGTCAAAGCAATTAACGACCTACCTCAGCCCAAAAACCATCTCTGAACTGAAGCGTTTCCTAGCAATGTTAAATTTCTACCGAAGTTTTGCTTTCTGCCAAATGCCTGCAAAAACACAAGCCTGCCTGCATGAGTTTCTGAAGAATAGCAAAAAAAAAAAAGCAAAAAAAAACGATCAACGAGCTGTCCCCTTGGACTGAATTCTGCATCTGCAGCATTCGTGCAATGCAAAACACGATCTGGCAAATGCAGCCACACTTTCTTATCACTCACCTAGTGATCAGCTCTCTATAATGGTAGATGCATCTGACACGGCCATAGGAGCAGTGCTTCAAGCCCATACCACTAAAGGACTTTCCCCAATGGCATTCTTTTCCAGAAAACTTACTACTGCAGAAAGGAAATACAGCACATATGACAGGGAGCTACTTGCTGTGTACTGTGCTGTTAAATACTTCTTCCGGCACAACTTGGAAGGACACTTGACTTTCATCATTTTCACCGATCATCGACCATTAACCTTCGCTTTTAGAAAAAACTCTGACTCATGTTCTCCTCGTCAGCTTCGACAGTCTGGATTTCATCGCCCAGTTTAGTACAGATATCAGATATGTCTCTGGTACTGATAATTGTGTCGCTGATGCCTTTGTCTCGGGTAAACAATATCAACCTCACTACCCCAGATTTTCTCTGAAATTGCAAAAGCTCAATTGCATGAGGAGAACTGAAGAACCTAATCTTGAATCCACAAACCTCCCTGCAGTTACAACCATTGCACATTGATTCAGTGCTTAAAATTTACTGTGACATAGAGAACAGTAAACATCCCTATATTCCTATCAATT